GTAGTACTGCCCTTGTCTATTCTCTGCGTCTCGCCTACCAAGCCTAGGGGGTGTGTCAACATATATATGATATATATGTATATAGTTTAGGTAGGTGTACTGCATATCTTGGATCCTACTGTAGAGGGTACAATCCCCTTGTATCCCTCTCTCTTCTTGTCCATCTCTCTTCTCTCTCTTGATATATTCTCCTAGCCTAAATTGTTAAATTATATCTTATATATAATTGTAGGCTTGGTAGGTGCTACTAGAACCTACTGTAGAGGGTACAACTCCCTCCTTGTATCCCTCTCTCTTCTAATCTCATTCTCTTCTCTCTCGATACTTTTCCTAGCCTAAAACCTCACGCCATTCTATGGCTTCTCTAGCTACCTAGTTTCTCAACATAAACCTCTCACTACTTTCATATGCCTAGCTCCTAACCTAAGCTATCTTGACAACACGAATCGCAGCTCAGAAGCCTACCTTACTCTGACGAAGCTGGAGACGCTTCGTCGGGATCTAGTCGCGCCGGTAGCGTTTGTTCAAGCAAGCCTAGCAGCAGAGGGAGCAGCAGACCTAGTAGCAGAGGGAGCAGCAGACCCAGTAGCAGAGTGAGTAGCAGGAGCAGTAGCAGGGCGAGCAGCAAGAGCTGCGACTGGCCAGAGGTTCCAGCGCAGGAGTTTTATCAAACAGAAAATTGAGACGCCAGAAACCCGAGAAAGGAATCAGATATTAACGAGAGCTTTATTAGTACTAGTTCAAGAAGCAAGGCTAGTGGGGAAAGGCTGGTTATTATGGATCACCCTAGGCTTTCTATATATTATGTTGTCTTTTTATTTTATTGATTCACTCGTTCACAGATTCGCCATTGCCCTCCGCGCTACTCGGCAGTCCCATTCATAACACTTGGTATTCAAAGCCACTTCCTTTACCCGCTGGGCTTCCGAGGGCATGACTTTTTTTTATGGAAGGGGGACAGCCATCCCCTCGAGGGCGGTTGTGTTCGTCCTGACATGGCGAAGATTTTGAAGAGTGCTTCCGGTATGTTGTTCATTTGGCATATCGTTAAAGGGGCTTCGGTTGCAGTTTCGGAAATTTCGGCAAGCAGCAACGACGATACGGATTGGTGTCCGAATGGAGCGAGGAGCTCGTCACGAGACGACAAGCTCGCGAATATCCCCAGGCGAAGCGTATTTCGTCAGGAGCACGTGTAGCAGACGTGGCTGCATGGTGAAGTGTAGCTGATGTCAAAGGGCTCGTCGTTTCCGGCAGGCGACACGCAGGTGAAGACGGGACTTCGGATACTGTTCAGCAACGTGGCATTGGATTTTTTGGCACGACCAAGGATCGCACGGCAGCACACGTGGGGCTCAGGCACGGAAGAGTTTTGAGGAGTACTGACCTCGAAATTGTTTCGCGTGACCTGCCCGCCTGGAGGTGTGATTCGTCTGCCCTAGAGTTTTGAGCTCGGCGAGTCTGGATTCCTGTAGAGGAAGCCATTTTCGTGGTCATAAATTACACCCCACGATCTACGGAGGACGACCAGCAACTATGCTCGGGTCAAGTTTAAGTGTCATCACCGGGTCACCCGCTAAAAGTCAACGACGAAGAGCTGAAGCAGAGAAGGAGAACGACTGGGAACAGCCGGGAAATTTTACGGAGTCAGCGGCTGACGGATCCCCCGACTGACTTGGCTGGGTCGCCTGATTTTCAACACCACCACCAGGTACCGGTTCGGGTTTAAGACTTCTCTGACGGTTCTGGCCGAATAAGGGTGGTGAGCCACCGGATCACGCTGTGCTGGTGGATCAAGAAATATTTTTGGCGCTACACGACAAGCGAACGATTTGTGAAAATCGGATGCAAACGACAGTGGGAGGCGCATGAAGCAGGTTAACGAAAAAAGCGAAGGTTTTTTGCGAGAGCGATCAAACGGTACGCGGAGCTCGAGTCCGATACGAACAGCTAATATTTGTCGCTGCAATCGACGGAGTTGCGAGTTTTTCGAACGAACGTGGGTGGTACTGTTTGGAGAACGACGAACGTGGGCGCTGGGTGAGCAGCGGCCTACGGGGGTTTTATTTTGGAAGCAGCAGTTAAAGAAAATTGCAGCAGTGTGGAGCAGATTTCTTGAGAGACGATTTTTTTAGGGAGGGGAAGGAGAATCCCTCACGTAAGTTGCAAAGCGGTTTCCCGCAAATTAGACTGATTAATTCGCCCAACTACGATAGTGTTTGCGCTTACCTGAGTACGAGCACACGGCGGATTCACCCCTGGTCTGGAGTGTATTCATCAAACGGAGCTTCAGGACGACAAGGGTTACTATTGCAGTGGGAAAAACGTGTTAGCGTTACGGAAAATTTGGAGTCACGCGGGAGTCTTCAAGGATTATCCCTGAGTTGCGGGGCTATAATCAAAGATTCGATTGCGATGACTCATTCGGGGATTTACCTGGACGGGCGCAATGATGGGTGAACGTCGGCGCGTCGCTAAACGTCGGGTATTTTCCGGGTGGGAATTCTTCAAGTTTTTGGCTTGAGCGGTAGTTGGGGTTACGGGTACCTACCGAGCTGTGCAATGGTTTAAACACCAGCATGGTTAGTCGGTGAAACTGCAGAGAATGCGCTTTTCGTAGCTGAGCACTATACGCGAGTTTTTCTGGGGTACCTGCCGTAGCCGCGCGATGAGTGAACGTCTGCACGACGAACTGGTCAGGGGGGGTTTCGTGATTTACAACACGAAGCAGATCGGCGGCATTCTGCGGAGCAGAATTATTATCTACGGCGTCAGATGGAGCTAGAGTCTACATGGCGCAGCTGCCCTGCGTTATAGGGTCACGCTGAGACTGGTCCCGACGAGCAGAGTTTGAAGACACTTCATTTTTGTCGGTCTGAAGAAACTTGAAGCAGGGTATTTTCGGCATCGACGACAGAATATTTTCTTTTCATGGAGGGGGGAAAGAGCAGCTGCGCAGCAGTTGTTTTTTGGATTTTCCCTCGACAATTGGCATCCGCTGCATGAGCATCGACGGATAGATGCTGTTTGACCGACTGAATCGACGGATAGATTCGAGTTGGCCTTTCGGGAATTTCGCAGGAGTTTGCGAAGATTGGAGGCGCGTTTACATCAACCGCCTGAGGCGACATCGACTATGGTTACTGGACTGATTGTGCATTCGTCCTTGTGCTGATGGAATTCGCTCCCTTTTATACTCAGTGAAATGTAGGGAGGGTGTGGAGTCGCATTTCAGTTCCAAGTGTTAGGGGCGTGTTCTAAAGATTTATGACATTACGAATTGAAGGTTCGTGTCGCAAAAATAACTGCTGCGTGGATTGTGGGAATTTGTTTTCGAGTTTGTTCCTTGGTTGGTTGTTGGATGTTGAGAACGACCCCTAGCATCAGGACATCGCGACTCCATTTCGCTGCCAAGTCAGCGTTCGGTTTCATGCGGCGATGATCAAGCCACAAACAAACCCAGCAACGCGTGCGCACCTTTGCGAGCTCAACGAAAGGCTCGCTGAGCTTCGCCGGAGCGCTATTCTGAGCGGGGCTGGAAGTTTGTGGCGAAAACGGTTGCGGCGCACATCTTTCGTCTTGTGCCGCATGTTCGTCACCGCTGTCATGATGACGCTGCACTGCTGGCTCTGTTCACGGCCCACGTTGAGTGGGCCATTGCCCGTGTGCCAACGCTAATGGGCGATGGTTTCTGATTGGGCCACGTATTGAGCTGGGCCTTAGGTGTGCACCCTGTGTACGGACAATCTTGGCGCTATGCAGAAGATAACGTAGTGTTACTGTGCGGATACAGTACACGACGACGGGGTTTGTAATTCTCGGCGAAGGACTCGCTGGAGACAAGGAAGCTGTGGTGCGGTAGTATCCCTACTGCCCGTTTGGTTATCTGGGTAACTCGACCAAGACTCGACGGCTACGATCGACCGCAATCGTTTCGACCGTTGGATGGAGTTTCTTTGAAGAAGCTCGAGATTCTCAGCAGTGGTGGCTTCACTACTACGAGATTCAGTTAGGGTGTGTATTGTTTTGTTTATTTGTGTGCTTATCTAGGAGAGGGGAGAGTGTAAGGAATTAGTAATTCCTTAATGAGGCTTGCGACAAGGCGTACGACTCGAACAGTCCCGAACTAGCGATATGGTTCCAAACCTTTCAGTTCGAGCCTCCTGGGCCTTTCTGGACCTCGCTAGGACACATCGAGGCCCTTCGACACTTTTACCGAACCTTCCGATCCTACAACCAGTATCACCCTAGGCTTTCTATATATTGTTTTGTCTTTCATTTTATTGATTCACTCGTTCACAGTTTCGCCATTGCCCTCCGCGTTACTCGGCAGTCCCATTGTAAGGAATTAACATTCCTTACTGCGCTGAACTACAGCGCGTACACCCGAAGACCTCGAACTCGCAGGTTCGGCCATTATTGTCGGCCCAAACCTCCCCGAGTCGCGTTCCGACACCCTCGACACCCAACCAAATCATTCACGTCCCGAGGTCCTCGCCCTAGCTCGTCCTAGCACGTCCGTGCCCTATTTTAGCCACTTTGCTCGTCACTTGTGGACACATTGTTTTTCCGAGGTTCTATTCTCATTATTGAGTGGCTGTTTCATTCCCACTCATAACACCCATTCATAACAGTGGTAAGTGAATGGTAACCTGTCTTCACAGAGACTGTAGAACCAAATTCGTCGCCAACGCCCGTCCCAGCCCAGCCAAGCCCAAGGCAGACTAGACTGGGCGTAGGCATGTACTATGTGCTCGCCATCAGGGCGCTTCCAAAGTGTTCAATTTGAATTTCGTACCGTACTTGAGCTGTTTGGTAACGCACATAACCAGTTCAAGATTCACCAAGCCGAGCTGCACCGAAACTAGAATCGAAAAAGCTGTCACTTTGGAAGCACCCTCGTTCAATTTAGAGAGCCACAGCACAGTGCGCATGGGACACGAAAGATGCGAGGAAGAGATATATTGGATGCCAGATCTGGCAAACCTCAGGCTATGGCGTGCATGCATGGAGGCCTGACATAGGTTAGGAGGCAGGCTGTGTGGGTAACCAAGGCGGTTAGTAACGGCGTCTATTTATAGCGACCTGATGCTCCCCATTCCCCGTTGCTTCACCTACCGCCTTAGGTTGACTCGCCGCTGCTGACGCCCTTCTGGACGAAGTGACGAGCAGCCGAACGTAGGAACAGAAGAGACCAGACCTTGAGAGAAACGAGTCTATGGCGATTCGCTGGCCCTCCACTCGAATAGTACAGTAAAGCGTCAGCAGGAGCGCCAGAAGCATTACAGTAGGAGCGAGCAGGTTTGTTTGTTTTTTTTGTTTTTGTTTTTTTTTGTTGGCTTTAAGGAAGGAGCGAGCAGCGGCGATGCTTTATTCGACCGTCCCCTCGGAATACGCCTCATCACACCTGCCCCTGCCAGCTGTGCGCCGTGCGGATCTGTGCCAGTAGATAAGGGGCTTGGCACATTTGCGAGGTGAAGAAGGCGCCGCGACAGGGGAGAGAGAGAGCGAGCAGTGGCCACTTGCTCCGTCCACATGAGTTAAACTGCGGATCCGATCATCAGAAGCATGTTGTACCGAACTGTACCGTACCGTACCGGAGCGAGACGAGATCACGAGTCGAGACGAGGGACACCGACCGTAACGAGCTATAGTCTTGTTCGGAGAGTGAGAAACGATGGTTGGGGATGGGGAGGCTGGGAATGAGGGCATCGGCGACTGGATAAGATGGCGCGACACGAGTGGCAGTGCCACGTCAGACCGCCGATCTGAATGGCCAGGAAGCTCTTTTACAGCCCAGTCCGAAACGCACGATGCGACTGTCGGATACATGTCATATGCGCGCCATGGTTCAGTCGCCAGTGGACCAAAAGGAGGCCAAGTGTGTGGGTGACCGCGCAGGTTCGCAGTGTGTGGCGGAGAGGAGCGGACAGGACACTGGCGACTTTCAGATGCGGGTGTGTCTGCCCAAAGAAGGGCCTTTCCTCGTGTCAAGGTTGACTCGTCGCCACTGGCGACGGAAAACCTCACTTACGGTACTTACTGCCTCGGGACCCTCGAGGCAGCGGCAGCTCGAGGTCTAGTAGGCTTGTCACGGACACCGTGGGCGAGGGGTTTCTCCTTCTGGGGGGCCGTATCTTACCAGGATCGTAGAATCACGCGTCAAAAGTCTAGTTTAGTCACTATACGTAGAGCATCACGGGCTGTAGTAATACAGTAGAATCACGGGCTGACGACGACCGAAGATCGACGCCCTGATGACTGCCCTCCCAAGTCGTCGATCACCAGGGCCTGAAGATCGACGGCCTGTCGGGTCTGGTGACTGCTCTCCCCTCTCCACTCTACTCCACCACACTGCCGCGAAATTTACTCTCTCCGTCGTTCCACTCTCCTGATTGGCCACACGTGCTGTCGAGATTCGGCTTTCCCGAGGAAGCACAATTCTTGTTCGCAGCTGCACAGGCGGTTCACGTTATGTTGCGTGGCTAGTACGTAGAGACTACTAGTACGCAGAATAGTTCTACTTGTACGCAGAGACTTTGAGTCTCGGTTACTCAGAGGCTGTTACGCACCGCCTAACTTCTGCCTGTGCGAAGAACTTTCGAAGTCAGGTCACCTGGAGCGAAATCCGACCGTAAGAGCCGCACTGCTTGCCTTGGTTTCGTTCACCATCCGTTCCTCTTCCTACCCTACTGCAATAACCCACTCTCTTCAGTAGCAGGCGTTTTTGCTGAGCTCCAAAGGCCAGAGACTTTTACCCGCCAGGGGCCCGGGACGACCACAACGCACCCCCGACCATCTCGCCAATTTCTCGCAAGGTCGAATTTTGCAAAATCGCCATCATACCCGCCAGATCTGCGAAATTTCGCGAAATGGGGCAGCCGGGAGGCTGCGACAAGCCGTCTCACCACAATGACGTCACTCCTAGCAGCATTCAGCAACTTCAAGCTGTCGCGTCATGGTCCTCGACTGACGGGGCAGCCGGGGGTGCTCCGCAGGGGGTTGCTGCGCAGGGGGGTGCTGGACAGCAGGCTGCTGCAACCCAACTTGAACGCACCGCATTCCTCTCTAGTAAGTGGCCCTCACGTTCCCCTCAATCGCCTCCTCCCTCTCACCACAATGCCTGGAGCCATGGCGACGACCATCATGATATGATCTCGGAATCGTTCACCACTAGTAGCTCTGGGGCGGCAAAAACCTCCTGCTGGTGCATTTTCCCGCCAAAAACAACTGCTAGCTGGCGAACGGTTCAAGCAAGAGATGGCGGCACAAATCGCAGAACGTGCGGATGCTCGGACGCTGCTCGTGCGTGTGATCCCGAGTGGGTGGAAGACGCGCGGTCGCGCATCCGCCATGCCGCTCTTGAGCTGGTTGAAGCGCAGCAGCGCTTTCAGGAGCACGACAGGCGGCTGAGTAACATGGCGGTGCATGGAATGCCGCTCCGAAGGCCTTCCCAGCCTGACGAGACTGGAGGCGCTGCTGATTTGTCGGTGCCTAGCCGTGACAGTAGTGTTTGTTCATGGAGCAGACCTAGCAGCAGAACTTGCAGCAGAGCAAGCAGCAGAGCGAGTAGCAGAGCAAGCAGCAGGGCAAGCAGCTGGAATACCATCAGCGACTGGCCAGATGTCCCAGCGATAGAGTTCTACAATGCAGAGAGGAGCAACAGCATGTTTCTGAGAAACGAAGGGGCGCATGAACAATACACTAATGATGATGCTAGTGTGAGGTGGGGGAGAAGGATGGTTGCTAAGAGCGCTCGGTGGCTGTCCAAAACGGTTGCTCGCAGCTTCACCATCCCAAAACCTACTATGAGGGTTCCAAGGAGGCACACAAGATGAAGTTGACCAATATGCTCGCACTCTTTGTGTAAAAAGTTCTATCTAGGTATGTGTGATATATGTATGCTCTTGGGAAATATTGAGCATGGTTGAACTGCATTTAGGGGGTTTTGGCTAGGAGAATATGCGTAGTAACTTGACTTGAGACACGATTTTTGTAACACAGGTAATCGATATTGAAGGCACGTGCGAACACTTCCCTGATTCGGCTCTTCATTGTTCAATCCAGTTTCCCGCGCAAAGGAGCCGTTGTGAGATGGATGGATGTGATCAGTGACAGCACCACATCTCTGGGGCGGGGATCTCCGGAGTTCCATGCATCATGCCCATCATGCTGGGTTTTTCGCGAAGGGGATCCTGTTAATTTTCGCTCAAATATGCGGTTGCTGATTGGGGGAAGAAGTGCCTTGCGAAACCTACTTTCTTCGCACGAGTTCTTGCCCAAAGAGGCTCCATGGTCAAGTGTGCCGAAATACTCCCTTCGCATAGTTACAGCCTCGTTTCTGCTCCAAAGCTTGCAGGAGCCATTGACAAAAGCAGAATCCCCCTCTTGATGTGGTGGTGGAGAGTGGAAGTCACATTCTGCGTAGGACTGAAGTTCTTGCGGTGTTCGCTTTCTGACAACGTGAGGAGATCCTAGGCCAAATTTTGGACGAGGGACTCAGATTTCTGTGCAGAGTGGTTGTAGTCTTACAGGCATTACACCAGCCTCACGTCAGTACTAGTCTGGTCGGTAGCTGCTTCGTGCGTGACCTCTAGCATGAACTCTCCACCATCTGACGCCATAGACCGAATCCTGGAAGAACTAGCGTCGAATAAACTCCCTTCCACTTCGCTAGCCTCAGACCCTGCTAGTAAGTCCGTCTCTAGCTCTGTCGGGAGAGCAGACAGCGGCGATACCCGGACGGATCTCGTCCGTTCAGGAAACGATCGGACGGTCCAAAACGCCGCTGAGACAGTTACCTCTGCCAGGAGCCTGGCCGCGTCGGAAGCTCCAGACAACCTCGTGGCGGTTAGCGGGGATGTTAATGGAGGGTCAGGAAAACGGAAAATAAAGAGCAGTAGCGAGTTCGCGTCTACAATGGCGAGTCTCATGTCGTCGGGATATCAGTCAGCGTCGGATTCCATCAATGCGTCGCCGTCATGCACGCCGACTACCCAATGGACCGGCACTTTGGGGAAGAAACCAGCACCTCCCAATGTAAGCTCGGTCACAAAATGGTACAAGACGAGCTTCAGGTGATGAGCCTGGTGTTGCCGCGAGTCAGTCAATCTGGCTCGTCGGATTCTTAATCAGCGTCAATCTGGCGCGAGTCTATCAATGCTTCGCCGTCATGCACACCGACTGCCCAGTGGGCTGGCACTCTGGGAAAGACACCAGCACCGACCAATGTAAGGTCGGGCAAAAAAAGGCTTACGCCAAACGTCAAGTAAAGAACCCGCTGTTTCCGCGATTCAGGCACTCTGGTGTCGTTAGCGTATCAGTCAGCGTCGGAGTCTGTCAATGCGTCGCCGTCGTGCACGCCGACTACTCAGTGGACCAGCACGCTGGGGAAGAATTCAGCACCTCCCAATGTAAGCTCGGTCACTAATCGGCTCACGGGTAACCACTAAGCCGAATCAGCAACAATGACGACAGCGATAGCAACAATAAGTAAGGTGAGAAGTTCGGTAACGTTGACGGGTCAGTGGGTCCGATGTCGTGAGCGAATCTGTCGTTCTGGTGCCGTCAAATAGTCGGTCAGCCTGGTGCCGTCATTGGTCAGTCTCAAATCCGTCACCAGTCAGAGGTTGGCGCCGTTAGCGAGTCCGTCTGGCACCGTCAGCGAGTTTGTCTGACGTCGTCGTCAGTCAGTATGGTGCCGTCAGCGAGTCCGTCTGGTATCGCCGGCGGATGAGTCAGACTGGCGTCGTCAACGCATGTCAACCAGCCGTTTCAGTGATCTGGCAAACGTCAGTATGCTTGCCAGTCAGCAGATTATTCAATTGTCGACGTATTTATGGCCATCACTTGGTTCGGGTCACAAAAACGACCGCCGATCCCTCTGTAATGAGTACCTCACAGCGTAACCAGCGATCAACAAGTGACTCTCGTGGGTACTTTTCTACCCCGGTCCAGCCTGTATCCGCGTCATCTGATGCCTGTTGGTGTCTCTCTCCTCCTTCGTTACTGTCACCTCCTCTTATCAACGTCACCCCACAGAGCTCCAGCAGGGCCAAGGGAATCGCGGACCTGGAGCGAGAGATGGAGGAGCTTCGAACGAGCTACCAGCAGGTACGCGATTCCACCAATATATTTTGGTCATGGATTTTCTCACTCCAAACTAGTTGCATGTGCCCTAGATATTGCTCAGAGTCTCAGCCATACACTTATCCGCCCAGGCCTGCTCTCGTGCCGCTGTTGCCTTTGCGAGGGCCGGATCCTTCTCATGGTGCTTGCGCCATGAACTGTAATAAAGTTTTGAGAATTCTCAGAAACATGACTTTGCGTCTGCGAGGGCCTGCGCCTGCTCATGCTGCATGCTCCATGGGCTTCTTGCCAGAAACGATGTTCCGGAATGCCCTGTTGGTCGTTTTTCCCCTAAATTGAATCACGCATGCAGGTGTGCGAGGAGAGGGATGCTCTGGAAGATTTGCTGCTGCAGGAGCAGCTGAAGAACCGAACGCCAGCGGTAGGTGAACCATGCTCCAGTGCTAGGTGCAGGCAACGCTATCAAATCTCCCCGGAAATCCCTTGTTGCCGTTTTGCATATTCATGACGTGCCTCTCCTCCACATACCCCCCTTGCCAGGACAAGCAACTAGAGGAGGCCAAGGCGCATGCAGCAGCGTTGGAGCTGGAGCTCAGATCCATGGCTGCCAGATGCGGTGAGCGAGGCTATAATCGAGGCTGCCAGACGTGGTGTTTGGGGCAAAAATCGAGGCTGCCAGATGTGGTGTGTGGGGCAAAAATCGAGGCTGCCAGGTGTGGTGTGGGCTGAGGTTCAGCCGTGCCACATGTTGCCAATGTCTGGTATTGGGGTTTGTCCATGCCACGTCGAGTCATCGTGACTGTTGGCTGTGTCGCACTGCCTCTATTGCTGCGTTTTCTTCTCAAGTTATCTCCTCTTCATAATCCTTGTGATCCCCTCCCCTGGAATCCGGGCAGAGGAATGGAAGCGGCGGGCAGCGCAGCGGGCAGCTGAAATGAATCCAGCCATGGTGCAGGCATTGCTGGAGGAGAGGCTGGAAGACCTGGACGAGTCAGGCACGATTAAGATACAGGTGAGGTGTTCTGAGACGCCAGAAACTTATTCTTTCGTATCTCCTTACTTTCTAGATTTTCTGCGTCTCGGCCTGCTTCTTTTGAGTCCTGGATTTTCATTGAAGCCTTGCCTCAATCTCTCAGCGCAAATAAGCGTGCCTCTGCTGTCCTATTTTCTACTGTTCAAACATATTCTGCTTCCTTTCTTAACGCCTGGATCAACCCCCTCCCCTTCTGATCCCCACTTCTCGATCCTTGCCCTGCAAGCTCTGCCCTTCCGTCCGAGCCCCTCTTGCCTTTCAATTGCTACACTGCAATCCTGCTCTCTCTCCCCCACCGCTCAGTCCCTCCTCCAGCCCCGCTGAGTGAGCCGTGCCCTTAATGTCTGTCCCCAATTGCTGCCCTCCATCCCTCCCCCCCAGATAAAGGTGGCTCATCTGCGGGACGAGCTGGCCAAGTCCGAGGTGCTGCTCTCTGCAGCACACGCCTTCTCTTGATCGTCCGCATCCCTCCGTCCCTGCACTACCAACCCCCACCCCCCAGATGGAGGTGGCTCGCCTGCGGGACGAGCTGGCCAAGTCCGAGGTGCTGCGCTTTGAGCTCTTCCGCAACGCACAGGACGGACCAGGTGGGGATATGCAGCCACGCCTCTCTGGTGCTCCTCGGTGACTTGCACCTTGACTTGGGTCCTCTCTGGTGCTCCTCGGTGACTTGCACCTTGACTTGAGTCCTCTCTGGTGCTCTTCGGTGACTTGCACCTTGACTTGGGTCCTCTCTGGTGCTCCTCGGTGACTTGCACCTTGACTTGAGTCCTCTCTGGTGCTCTTCGGTGACTTGCACCTTGACTTGGGTCCTCTCTGGTGCTCTTTGGTGACTTGCACCTTAACTTGGGTCCTCTCTGGTGCTCTTCGGTGACTTGCACCTTGACTTGGGTCCTCTCTGGTGCTCCTCGGTGACTTGCACCTTGACTTGGGTCCTCTCTGGTGCTCCTCGGTGACTTGCACCTTGACTTGGGTCCTCTCTGGTGCTCCTCGGTGACTTGCACCTTGACTTGGGTCCTCTCTGGTGCTCCTCGGTGACTTGCACCTTGACTTGGGTCCTCTCTGGTGCTCTTCGGTGACTTGCACCTTGACTTGGGTCCTCTCTGGTGCTCTTCGGTGACTTGCACCTTGACTTGGGTCCTCTCTGGTGCTCTTCGGTGACTTGCACCTTGACTTGGGTCCTCTCTGGTGCTCTTCGGTGACTTGCACCTTGACTTGGGTCCTCTCTGGTGCTCTTTGGTGCCGTGGACCAGGTAGGTACGAGATAACGGCATACAGGACTCCAAGACTTGGGTCCTGTGATTTACAACTACGAGGTGCCGCGCTGTGAGCTCTCCCGTGGCGCACTGGACGGACCCGGTGGGCATATGCAGGCTGACCCCTCTGGTGCTTTGTGGTGCCGTGGAGGACGTGGACCTACATAGCGACTTACAGCCCTGAGGTGCTGCGCTCTGAAGTCGCCCGTAGCAGACAGGACGGACCAGATGGGAATAATTGGCCAATCGGACCAGATGGGAATAATTGGCCAATCGGACCAGATGGGAATAATTGGCCAATCGGACCAGATGGGAATAATTGGCCAATCGGACCAGATGGGAATAATTGGCCAATCGGACCAGATGGGAATAATTGGCCAATCGGACCAGGGAGGGACGTTGGGGCTCCTCCCTTCCCTTCCTCCCCCAACCCCGCACTTACGCTTTGCTCATCTCATCTCCGTTTCCCAGCCACACACGTTGTTTCACTCTTCCCACCATCCCATCCGTACCAGCCACAAGTGGCAAGCGGGAGGCGACGGAGGAGGGGCTCGAGCAGCAATTGGAGGTCTTCTTTCTTCCCCTGCTCTCCCATGCCATGCATGCAGCCTATGTTTTCTTCCCTCCATGTGTGCGCCCTTCCCCCCGTCCCATTCCTTCCAGCCACCAGTAGCAAGTGGGAGGCGGAGGAGGAGGGGCTCAAGCAGCAGATGGAGGAGGTGGATGCGGGCAGGGAAGTCAACAGGTGGGGGTTGAAAGGAAAGGGGTGGGAAGGGGATTAGCTGGTAGAGATTCAGGGAGGAGGGGATTAACGGGTGGAGAATAGGTGAGCTGGAATATATAGGAGCACTTGACAGGTGAGCAGGAAGATTGACAAGTAACAGGTAGTATAACAAGTATTTATGGGTTTTTTTATGTTGTTCTAGTTTTCGGTTAGGTATATTTTTTTTTCTTCCAGGTTAAAAGCTTCCGTTTGGTGCTCCAGGTATAGGGGTTGAATGGATGGGTGCGAGTGGGGGTGTGAGTAATTTCGAACCACGCGGTGTTGAATGGATGGATGCGAGTGGGGTGGCGTTCAGCACTAGGCTGATGATGCAGAGAGAGAAACAGCAGAGCCTAACAACTGGATGCCACATTATATGTGCGCGTGTAACCTCTACCAAAGGAGGGGATGAGGCAGGAGAAGGGCTGGGAGCATGCTAGGAGCGTGATAAGTACGACTTTTCTCCTCTCTTTACTTCCCTTTCTGTCTTCTCCTCCCTGTGCGTCCTCGTTTGGGGTGGTTGCAGTAAGAGCATTGATGAGATTCCAGAGAGCACTGTGTGGAGAGACGCTAACAGCATGGTACGAGCTGGTGCATGGTGGTTCAGTGCAGTGGTATGAAGTTTGTTGCAACGCAGTGTGGTTCAAATGTGGTGCAGCAGTGTGTGGAACTGTACAGTGTCGTGCAACCTGGTATAATTTTACGGGCGCACCAGTAGCACACCACCATCCCGCACCACCATCCCTTGTCATCATGCATCGCTGGCTGTGACCCCGTTCGTCCTGTCACCACCACTCATTGCCGCTCCCCATACCCATCCCTCACAGCAGGAGGAGAGGCGGAGGACTTGATGCAGGGGCTGCTGGAGATGCTTCGAGTGGATGCAACAACTCAAGGAGCCGCCCCTTTCTCTCACTACTGCTCATTGCCTTGCCACAGTGCCACTCCCTGGTCCCGCTTTTGCGTTTCTCTTAGCAGGAGGAGGCGGAGGACTTGATGCAGGAGCTGCTGGAGATGGGTTGAGTAGACCCTACGAGCTTCCCCTTTCTCTCGCTGCTGCTCATTACCCTGTTACTCCCTGGTCCCGCTTTTATTCTCTCTCCCAGCAGGAGGAGGCGGAGGACTTGATGCAGGAGCTGCTGGAAATGGGGCAGGCGTCTCTGAGCCAGCAGGACGTGGAGCGGCTGTCGGAGGCAGTTGAGGTACGGGTTGCATGCCACGCGTCTGTGATGGTATGGTATGTTCCAACCGGCCAGCAGGAACAAGGGGAGTCTATTTTTGAGGCGCCTAAAAAATAGACGCGTCTGTGATGGTATGTTCCAACCGACTGGCAGGAACAAGGGGCTGGCGTCTCTGAGCAAGCAGGACGTGGAGCGGCTGTCAGAAGCCGTTGAGGTATGTTGCGGCCAGCCGTGTCTGTGAGAATTTCCACTGAAACGAACCCATCGAACGCTTAGCCTTCCTGCCGTATAGCTGGCGGTGCTGAAACGAAGTCGCATACAACTGGTCACATCACATATCATACATATCATACCACCATGAATCGGTGGTGAGGGCAGGTGGCCCTGAGCCAGCAGACGTGGAGCGACTGTTAGAAGCAGTCGGGTTGGTCTGGCTTGGGGATCATCTGCTGCTGACGAGGCTGGTCGGGATGTTTAGGGGCAAATGAAGGCGGCTATGACTTACTTTGGCTGTACTGGGTACTTTAAAAACACCAATTGGTACTGCTCACATGTTGCACCTCCTCCCGTCTCCACTTCCCCAATTATCCCCTTTTCCGCTCCCCTCTCCTAGGCTGCACAACACAGAGCATTGGAGGACGAAAGGAGATTCTAGAGTCGATCCAAAGGTCAAAGGTCCAACCTTGTTTCCACTCCTCTCTTTCTTCCCCCATCCCTACTCCATTTTGCCCTGATTCCCCCGTCTCCCCCAGATTGCCCCGTCTCTTCCAGAATCCCCCATTCTTCCGGATCCCCCCCCTCCCCTGATCACCCTACTCCCCTCCCCTCTTGCAGGCTGCAGAGCACAGAGCAGTGGGGCAGAGAGGAGATTCTAGAGTCGACTCAAAGGACCAACCTTTTTTCCACTCCTCTCTCCCTGAATCCCCGCTCCTCTCTCCCCTCCCCCCGTTCTTCCCCGATCCCCCCTACCTCCCCTGCCCTCTCCCAGGCAGCAGAGCACAGAGCAGTGGATGAAGAGAGGAGAAGCCGCAACCTCGTTTCCACTCCTCTCTCCCTGGATCCCCCCTCTCTTCCCCCCCCTCTTGATTCCCCCCTGCCTCCCCTCCCCTCTCTCAGGCAGCAGAGCACAGAGCAGTGGAGGCAGAGAGGAGAGCAGCGCAGGCAGAGAAAGAAGCTGCTGAGAAGGCACTGCAAATAAGGATGCTGGAGGCTAAGCTAACAGCATTGCTGGTGAGAAAATACAGTGGAGCTCTTTGTTTAAACCGTTTTCTTCAACCTTGTGTGTTTTCTAGTCAACCCAAACGGCACATGAAAATGCCGTGGAGTATTTTGTTCGACCCCGTGTGTTGTGAGTCGACTCAGAATCCACCAGAAAGAATCGTGGGGCTCTTTTCCACCTGTAGAGTTCCGTATTCACCTTGAGGAGCATTTCATCTCACCCTGAGGAGCATTTCATCTCACCCTGAGGAGCATTTCATCTCACCCTGAGGAGTTTTCATCTCACCCTGAGGAGCATTTCATCTCACCCTGAGGAGCATTTCATCTCACCCTGAGGAGTTTTCATCTCACCCTGAGGAACATTTCATCTCACCCTGAGGAGTTTTTATCTCACCCTGAAGAGCATTTCATCTCACCCTGAGGAGCATTTCATCTCACCCTGAGGAGTTTTCATCTCACCCTGAGGAGCATTTCATCTCACCCTGAGGAGTTTTCATCTCACCCTGAGGAGCATTTCATCTCACCCTGAGGAGCATTTCATCTCACCCTGAGGAGCATTTCATCTCACCCTGAGGAGCATTTCATCTCACCCTGAAAAGCATTTCATCTCACCCTGGGGAGTTTTCATCTCACCCTGAGGAACATTTCATCTCACCCTGAGGAGTTTTTATCTCACCCTGAAGAGCATTTCATCTCACCCTGAGGAGCATTTCATCTCACCCTGAGGAGTTTTCATCTCACCCTGAGGAGCATTTCATCTCACCCTGAGGAGTTTTCATCTCACCCTGAGGAGCATTTCATCTCACCCTGAGGAGCATTTCATCTCACCCTGGGGAGTTTTCATCTCACCCTGAGGAACATTTCATCTCACCCTGAGGAGTTTTTATCTCACCCTGAAGAGCATTTCATCTCACCCTGAGGAGCATTTCATCTCACCCTGAGGAGTTTTCATCTCACCCTGAGGAGCATTTCATCTCACCCTGAGGAGTTTTCATCTCACCCTGAGGAGCATTTCATCTCACCCTGAGGAGCATTTCATCTCACCCTGAGGAGCATTTCATCTCACCCTGAGGAGCATTTCATCTCACCCTGAGGAGCATTTCATCTCACCCTGGGGAGTTTTCATCTCACCCTGAGGAACATTTCATCTCACCCTGAGGAGTTTTTATCTCACCCTGAAGAGCATTTCATCTCACCCTATCATTTCATCTCACCCTATCATTTCATCTCACCCTTAGGAGCATTTCATCTCGCCCTGTGGAGCAACTCATCTCGGACTGTTGCTGCTGATATGTGGATGAGCTTCATGAATCTCCTAGCACTTACTGCGCTTGATGCTTCCTTCCTTCTTCTTTCTTCATTCCCCTCCCTATCCCTCCCTGTCACTTTCCTCGCTGTCTCCTTTTATGTAGAGGTAAAAGAGTCTATTTTCTGGAAGTAACTTGTGGTGACCACGCCTCTCACTGCTCCCGGTGCTGTCTCCAGTCACCCCCCTCCCTGTTCCCCTCGTTCCTCGCTTGCCCCTTCCTCCCCCTGCCCTTTCTGTAGGGCGACTCGTCACAAGTTCAAGCAACCTCTTTCCACCCCCACATGTCTTCCACCTCACTCGGCATCCGCCCCTGCCCCGTCCACTCGTCTTTTCCCCCCCAGCGACAGCGGCTTTCTTGCTGCCAACACTGCCTCACACCGCTCAAGCTTCCCCCTTCCCCCTTCCCGTTCCCCTTTGTTCCCCTTCCCCCGCCCCACGCCATTTCCCCCTTTCGTGCAGGGAGATCCGTCCTCAATCGAAGCCAACTCCTTCCACGGCCACATGTCTTCAGCCTCACTCGGCATCCGCCCTTGCCCCGTCCCCTCTGCCTCTTCCACTGGTGACAGCGGCTCTCTTGCTGCCACCACTGCCACACACACTCCACCCGCCGCCACTGCTGCCTCTGTCCATGGGGTGTCAAGGCGGAAGGACGAGGGAGCTTGGGAGAGTGTGGGCAGGAGGGATTCAGTGGTGGTGGTGGGAAGTCAAGATGGCGCTAGTGCTGTTGGCAAGGAGATGGGTGGGAGCAGGGGGAGTGGGACAGAGGTGGAGAGCAGCGGGGGTGAGAGTGGGGGGGAGAGTCTCAAGGAACTGACAGCAGCACAGGTTGCAGATGTCGAGGAGATTCGGCAGATTGTTAATCGTGTTCAGGTAAGCCCTGTGTTTTCCTTGTTCCTGATTTATGGTAGCCTCCCTCCCCCCATCTTCCTCCTTTTCCTCTCTCCTCTTCCGATTTCCATGTTATAAGAAACGGGAGAGCTTTTGTTGACTTATGTTTCTGTCCGTGTGCTTCTCTGATGCAGGGGCAAAATCGATTTACACATTTACTCCTTACGGTCGTCTTTGCTGCATCGGTTCCTCGGGTTGTTGACATGGTCAAGAACCTTCTGAGCAGTAAACAAAGGCCACGATACACACGGATCACACATCGGGCAGCCCGGTCTGAAACATTCGGGGAACGATGACCACTTCAGAAAACGTGACATTGGTTGTTGATTCCAACCATCAAGATAACCAACCGCCATACGATGGGTAGCCAATCATCAAGTGCGAGTGTACTATTATTAATTCATAACCTAGGTGCACATGGGATTTGCAAGCTTAATACAGACTTACTAGCTGTATAGAATGACGTTCTGTTATGCATACGTAGGGTATGCACGTATGGCAAAAGGGAATATTTCGCATCGGCTACATATAAAACATATGAGGGTGTAGTACATGCTCTCTGCGTGGTTACTATAAGGAGTTTTAGGGTAGTTGCTTCCAGCGGAGCACCTTGATATTTCCGCGGGCACCTGACCTGACACCCTGACACCCTCACATCAGTTGACTTTCTGGAGCTGGGAAATTTGTTTCCTTCCTTCGGGTCCGATCTGCAGCGTTTGAATTGAAAGCTCCTGATACTGTGGCTGGCATCACTGCCAACTGGACTGGCCACTTCCTTCCGCTGAAGCTTCAAGCTTCAAGCTACATGAATCAGGACCCGTGTATTCCAGCCACTTCGTAACGGCGATCATGCCCTGGGTGTGTTGCGCTATTCGCATGGATGCGTGCACGGGTATCCCGAGCTACGCTCTTGCTGGCAGATGATGCCAGTGATTATTCTTGAGGCGCTTAGTCCACCCCCATGCTAGCAGACTCTGACCATCAGGGTGAAATTCATGATGACGTTGATAGTCAAGCGCGGAATATCGTGGATTCCTTTCTCCTGCAGCGTTGATTCCTTTCTGCCTGTCGATCTCTCTCATGCCGACCTCTAGTTTTGAGACGTCTCAAAAGATAGTTTTGTTCTGAGACGCCTCAACGTTAGACGATGACGATTTATAGAGTCAACACGATGGAAGCTGCAGCGTTGATTCTGTTCTGCCTGTGGGTCTCTCTCGTATCCGCGCAATCACTGGGAGAAGACTCTCGGCGATCTCCAAGAGGAGACTCGCTAAGAGAGGACTCCCTAAGAGAGGACTCGCTAAGGGAGGGCTCGCTTCTAAGAGAGGACTCGCTAAGAGCGGACCTGCTAGGAGGAGACTTGGAAAGAGGAAACGGCAAGAAGTCACTGGAAAGCGCTGGACGGAAGGTTTTGCAACAGGATGGCTGGCAACTTTCTGACGGAGATGGACGGCAAGCGGGCGGCTTCAGGTGGGAGGAGGTGGGCGGCGAGGCTCGTCGCGGAGTGGTGTGGTGGATGCAGCTGTCAGACGTCCACGTCAGCGCGCATGTGCCGTCACGTGCCAATGATCTTCTAGTGCACCTCGTACCGGCTGTCCGCATTATAGCGCCTGCTGCGTTAATAGTGTCTGGCGATCTTACAGGTGCGTGGTGATGGGGTTACAGGCCTAGCATCATCGCTCCCTCTGCTCTCATAGCGACCTTCTGACGAACCTTGTGCCATCTGTACTCGTTATAGCAACTGCTGCGCTAGTAGTGACTGGGGATTTCACAGGTTGGTGTTGATGGGATGACAGGACTAGGCGCATCACTACCGATGCTCTTTTGATAGCCTTCAGAAGAGATGAACCGCCAGCCCACAGCAGGTGCGCACGGCAGGTGCACACGGCAGGTGCACACAGCAGGAGCACACAGCAGGTGCGCACGGCAGGTGCGCACGGCAGGTGCACACGGCAGGAGCACACAGCAGGTGCGCACGGCAGGTGCACACGGCAGGAGCACACAGCAGGAGCACACAGCAGGTGCACACAGCAGGAGCACACAGCAGGTGCACACAGCAGGTGCACACAGCAGGTGCACACGGCAGGTGCACACAGCAGGTGCACACAGCAGGTGCACAGAAGCCAGTCAGAATGGCACACACACTCCCGAGCAATGCACACCAGCAGCAGCACCATCAGCAGCACCATCAATGTTGGTTACCCTCTCTCCTCTCCCTTCCACCCTGCCCCCTTCAGAGGCAAAGAACCGCCAGCACACGACAACGGCACAGAACGAGTCAGAATGGCGCACATACTCCCAAGCAATGCAGGCCATCAGCAGCACCATCAACGCCGCCCACCCACCCTCCTCCCCCACACCCCCCCTCTCTATAACACCGCAAGACCAACACCTCTCCTCCACCTTCCCCTCCCCACTCCCCTCCCCACTCCCCTCCTGCGCCTCATTCCCCCGGGTGCTTGACCTGAGGGGGAACCACGACTCGTTCAGTGTGCCTATAAGGGGCGGCCAGGGCGATTTTTTTTGGCGGCACAGCATCAGCGCGCAGTGCGGGAGAGGGGGAGTGCAAGGACTGGTCATAAGGCCCTTCGATTCAGACACAGGAGAAGGTAAGAGATGGAGTTTTTGGTGCGCCACATGCATCTCTCCTCCCCCCACAACCCCTTGTAGCTCCCCTCCTCGCTCCCCGCCCCTCTCCAGTCCCCTCCTGCGCCCAATTCCCCAGGTGCTTGATCTGAGGGGCAACCACGACTCGTTCAGTGTTCCTATAAGGGGCGGCCAGGGCGACCTGTTTGGGCGGCACAGTACTTGCACTTGCATTGCAGAGGTGACTTTTGAGTCGAATCAAACGTCACCTCGAAGGGGCCCTGTGTCGGCAGCACAGTGCTTGCACTGCCCTGCACGTGGCACCACGAGTAGGGCTGACGGGACCTTCCCACTTCTTACCCATCCCACCATCATGCCATTTCCACCATCTTCCCCTCTGGGGGGCACTCTCTTTCACTGTGTGTCCCAGCATCCTCATCCCGTCCCATTCTTCTGCTAGGAGTGGACATGGCGCCCCGAGTAGATCTCACACTCCGCCGCACTTCCTCTCTTTTCACTGTGTGCCCCAGCATCCCCCTTCCCTCCCATTCTCCTGCTAGGAGTGGACATGGCGCCCCGAGTGGGGCTGAGAGCCCCCTCCAACTTGTTTGTTCACCCCATTGCCTCGTCTCATTCTCCTCGTCTCCATTCTCCCATGCCCCAGCATCCCCATCCCGTCCTATTCTCCTGCTTGGAGTGAACATGGCACCCCGAGTGGGCCAAAGGGGCCCCTTCAACTTGTTTGCTCACCCCATTGCCTCTTCTCATTCTCCTCTTCCCCTTTCTCCTACGCCCCAGCATCCCCATCCCCTCCTATTCTCTTCCTAGGGATATACTTGACACCCCGAGTAGGGCTGAGACGTCCTTCCAACTTCTTTGCTCATCCCACTGCCTTGCCTTTATTCCCTCCCCCACTCCCCCACTCCCCCACTCCCCCACTCTCTTTCCCTTGTGTGTCCCAGCATCCCCATCCCCTCCTATTCTCCTGCTAGGAGTGGACATGGCGCCCCGAGTGGGGCTACGGGGACCCTCGAACTTCTTTGCTCATCCCACCACTTCTGACCTGGACGCGCTCGATGCGGCTCTCAGCCAATGGGAGGCCGCCACGTCAGCCTTGTCATCCACGTCAGCCACCTCGTCCTCACCAAACACGTCAGCGCAGGGCTGCACCCCCCGCCCGGCCGTTGTGTTCACTCACTACCCCCTCGCCTTCAGCACTCGTGAGCCACCCTCGCCCCCCCCTCCCCCACCCCTCGCCGCTTTCACGACGTGCTTCTTGGCCATGCAGCAGCTTATAGCGCGTATGGGGGGACATGCAGTAGCGAGGGTAGGGATGGCAGGCGTGGGAATGATGGGTTGGGATTGGCGCTTGTGAACGGGCACCTGCACTGGAAGTTTGGGCGGCACCTGTACAGGTGGCACGCTGCGAGTGGTGGGGGGAAGAGGGGGGTGAGGAGGGGGCGGCAGTTGGGAGAGGAGGGACAGCAGCCGGGGGCAGGTGCGGGTGATGGGCCTTCTGCACCTTCTGCCTTAGAGGCGCCCTTTTTTAGGCGCCTCAGAAATCGGCAGTTGGGAGAGGAGGAGGAGCAGCCGGGGCTAGGAGGGGATGGTGGGGATGGCAGGGATGGTGGGGATGGCGGGGATGGTGGGGATGGCGGGGATGGTGGGGATGGTGGGGATGGCGGGGATGGTGGGGATGGCGGGCGATCTTATTCCGAGGGGCCTGAGGAGCGTCTAGCAGGGGGGTTGGAAGGGGGTCGGAAGGTCGTTGAGCAAGTGAGGCAGGGTGAGGGTGGGTCAGGGGGGGAAGAAGCAGCAAGCGGCGGAGCAGGAGTGGAGAGCGGTGCAGTGGGGTTGTGGGAGTGGGAGGTGGGTGACTGGAGGGACAACAGAGTGGTTCGCATCATGGCCCATGACCCCCTCTCAGGCCTCCAGTTCACAGACCTGCAGCTGCTGACCCCCACGGTTCCCCCAGACACATCTGCTCCAGTCACCCCAGGTAAGCACCGTGCTATTATAACCCATGACCCCCTCTCAGGCCTCCAGTTCACAGACCTGCAGCTGCTGAGCCGCACGGTTCCCCCGGACGCTGCTGCTGCCCCAGTCAGTCACCGCAGGTAAGGAGTTGGCCCCGAATTTCCAGGCCCTTCTTTGACCCCTCTTTCTCTGCTGCCCCGTGGTCTCATGCTGCTGGCACGGCAACCAGTGGTGCTCGTCACATGCCCCCCCAGCGCACACTGCACAGATTCATGGCTTCTACACCCCTTTCTCCCCTCTGCACTCTGCCGCCCCACTGTCCTCCACTCTGCCGCCCCACTGTCCTCCACTCTGCCGCCCCACTGTCCTCCACTCTGCTGCCCCACGCTTTCCGCCTCACCAGGTGCCATGCTGCTGGCACGGCAACCAGTGGTGCTCGTCACATGCCCCCCCAACGCACACTTCCTACCGCAAGCCGGCCAGGGGGAAGAGGAACAGGGGCAGGGAGAGCACATGGAGCAGGTGGCAGCGTGGGTGGGGGGGGGTGCGATGCGAGCGCTGGTCTTCTCTCTCCCGCCCATCCTGAGCGTCTCAGCCATTGTCTATCTCGAGCATGATCCGGGTTCAGGTTTCCGGGTGCCAGGCAGGGGAAGCAGCGTCCAAGGCTTGCGCATGGAGCTGAGGAGTGCAGACGAAGGAAACAGGCACACCAGTATGGAGATTTTGGAGGAGGTGACTCTAACGAGGGAGGGGGTGGACCAGGATGGAAAGGAGGGGGAACAGGGGGATAGTAACAGGAGCAGCTCCCGTCCGTCGCCGCTCTTCTGGGCGCCGTGGGACGCATCTAGGTACTCTCGCCCGCCCTTCAACCCCTCGTCCCGCCTCTGGCTTGCTGTCAGGGTTTCATACCAGACCCCTCCACCTGACCCTCCTGCGCCTGCTGCTGATGGCGCTGCTGCTGCTGCTGCTGCTGCTGCTGCTGCTGCTGCTGCAAGCAGTGTATCAGTTTACACCTCCCCTCGTCAGCCTTTCGCCCCATTCAGCCGCCCCGTGCCCTTCCCCCACACGTGGGTGGAGCACACCATAATGACCACTGACTGGGAGGACCTCTGGACGTTCGCCGTTGCGTCGCCTTTACTCTTCCTCGCCCTCGTGCTCCTGGGCTCCAGGGCCCTCTCTTATCTCATCCCCGCTCCCTCTTCCCAAGCCTCTCATGATTCTCAAGCCTCTTACGCCTACCACTCCTCTCACGCCTCGCACTCCCCTCACGCCACCTCCCCCCACGCTCCTTCAACCAGCCTGGTTTCCTCCAAGCAGTCCTTTCCTTCCACACCCCCCGATGACTCCCCTTCTCCCTCTTCCCCCTCTTACCCTTCCCCCTCGTCCCCCTTCCACCCCATCACCTCCTCTCTTCTCACCCTCTCTAAAGCCCTCGCCTACTCTCTCCTGGCCCTCCTGCGTCTTCTCTTCCGCATCTACCTCGCAGCTTCTCATACCCACTCCTGGCCGCTCGCCCTGCTCCTCCTCCTCTACCTCTGCCTCTTCCCCTGGTTCTGGGCTCGCCCCCTCGGCCCCTCTTGCCCCATCGGCTCTCTGTCAATTTACGGCTGGGCTGTTTCCCTCTGCGAACCCATCCCTCCCTCCTCCCTCTCCTCCTCCTCTTCCGTCCCCTCCTCTTCTTCGTCCTCCTCTTCTTCATCCTCCTCTTCCTCCTTCCTGGCTCTGTCCAACTCTCCTCTCACATCTGGCCTTGCTGTGCCAGACATAGTCACGACAGTGGAGCCCTTTCTCCTCTTCGTCACCCTCCCTGCATTCCTCATCCTCCCCCTCCTCCTCTTCCTCCGCTCCGCCCTCCTCTCCCCCTGCGGCCCGCACACTCTCAGTGGCTGGGTGAAGCTGGCACTTTCAAAGGAGGGGGAAAGGGGCGAGGGGGAAAGGAGAGAGGGAACGATGTTGGCAAGGGACGGGGCGAGGGGTGCGGAGGAGGAGGAAAGGGAGGCGCTGGTGGGGGGGAGAGGTGAGGGGAAGGGGGGAGTAGCAGGGAGGATAGGTGGATGGGAAGGAGCGGGTGGTGGTGAGGAGGGGAGGGGTACTGTCGCACTTACTGCAGCTGCTGCTGTAGCCACAGCTGTAGGGGGTGCTACAGATACTGACAGCATGATCATCATCAGCAGCAGCAGGAGCCGCAGCTGTAGCAGCAGCGGCTGTAGCAGCAGCGGCTGTAGCAGCAGCTCCAGCAGTGGGGGTGAAGGACCAGACAGGGCTAAGATGCTGCGGCGCAGAGGATCCAACGGTGGGAATTTATCGGCCGAAACAGTTCCGTTTTGGCCTGCTGCTACTGCTACTGCTACCGCCTCTTCTCTCCATCCGTCTACCCCCATAACCGTTACTGTCAATGGCAGTGGCACTGCTGTTAACACTGCTAGTAACAGTGTATTCCACAGTGCTACCTCTGATAAGAAAGCTGCTGCTACTAACCGTGTTGCCACTGCCACTGCTGGTGCGAGAGGACCAAGAGAACTGAGCCGGTGGTGGTGGGCGGGCAGGGGGGAGAACAGGCGGCATCAGTGGAGCATGACGTGTTTATCCCCGTTCAAGGCCTGGCAGGTGGTTGCTGTGCTCGCGCTTGTGGCTGCTGCTGCTCCGCTGCCCTTCCTCGTGTATCTCCGGGTGAGTTCTTAGATGTGAGGGGAGTTGACACAGGATTCGGCACAGGAGCAGGAGTGGGGCATGGCACATTTATCCCCGTTCAAGGCCTGGCAGGTGATTCCTGTGCACGCGCTTGTGGCGGCTGCTGCTCCTCTGCCCGTCCTCGTGTATCTCCGGGTTAGTTTGAGTCGGTGAAGGGGCCACTGTGAGGGATGCTCTTGAGTGGAGGGCAGGGGCTGCAGCACGGTCCCCGTTTAAGGCCTGGCAGGTGGTAGCAGTGATCGTGCTTGTGGCCGCTGCTGCTCCTTTGCCCATCCTCATCTATCTCTGGTTGAGTTTGAGTCTGTTAAGGGGCCCCTGTGAGGGATGCACTTGAGTGTGAGGGCAGGGAGGGCAGGGGAGACAGGAGGCATCAGTGAGACATGGCGTGTTTATCCCCGATCAAGGCCTGGCAGGTGGTTGCGGTGCTTGGGCTTGTGGCTGCTGCTGCTCCTCTGCCCGTCGTTTTGTATCTCTGGGTGAGTTTGAGTCGGTTAAGCGGCCACTGTGAGGTCCTTCTGTGGTCAACGGTTAAGGCCTGGCAGGTGGTTCCTCTGCATGCAATTGTGGCCGTTGCTGGTCCTATATCCATTGTTCGATGGGCGAGTTTACGCTCTTGCTCTACATGCCCTCACTTTACATGCTCTCATGTGGTGTGCAGGTAGTGTGTTCCACTCTCCTCCCTCCCATACTTGCAGCAACGTCGACTCATGGTTGGTGCCTTGGGCCACTCGCATTCGCATTATTCACAAGCATAACCCATTATCACCCATAAGACAATCATTATGCCCCTGTCCCCCCTCCCCACTCTCTTCCCTCCCATACGTGCAGCAATGTCGGTTCATGGTGGGTGCCTTTGGCCCTCTCGCATTCGTACTCTCTCCGGGCTACTCCTGGCTTCCCTTCATCCTCCTCCTTTCTGTCTTTCTACCATAAGCTCCTCACATTCATCCTCCATTTGTAAGTTCGAAGTATTTGGGCAACTCGCAATGAATAGGAAAACGCAGGTAGAGAATGTTATATGGGATGAAAATATACATAACGTCGGCATTGAAGGGATTCAAGCGATGATATCAAGAAGCACGAAACCAAATCCAGAAGGTTTGGAATCGGGTTGGCGGAATGAGCGAAACAGTAACACCCCCCCCCCACACCCCTCACTACACCTCGCAATTTTCACGACCACCCGAAACCAAAACCTTTGGGTTGGGTTTTCTGCTTGAGATCCTCGCTTTAAATTGCACGTCCATGTACGGTACGTCAACAAGCCATTGTACAGAGTCCGCGTACAAATCCATGTGAGATTCCAACACATAGTTTTCGCAGGTTCTGGTTGTCCGCAAGGCTATATAAAACCGCAGCAGTTAAAACGGCGGATAGAAATGCTGACGGTCCGAGCGAGGGCGAATCACAGGTTCGGATTGCGTCACCCTTGCTCCATTCATGGCAGGTTAGTTTCAGGGATTGGGGCATCAAAGCAGAAATCGTTTCAGGGATTGGAGCATCAAACTAGAAAATCGTTTCAGGGATGGGGGCTTCAAAGTAGAAATCATTTATGGGATGGGGCATCAAAGTGGAAATCGTTGGCAGAATGTCAACCCCAACCCAATCTGACAGTAAATTGGAGCAGGAGAAGGATTTGGGCAGCGGGCAGAATTTCAAAATCCGGGGAGAGGTTCACCATTGGGCCAATTGAGGCTTTCTTGGCTTGGTTTGGTGCAGGGCTTTCTTGGCTCGGGTTTTCGTCTACACGGCAGATCTGGGTATCTCTCTCGAGGGAACCGGATGCAACGGGTGTATGTGAAACGTTACCCGTCCATGTAAGGGTTCAGTCCGGGATTTTTTCTGTGATGACAAACGCTCTTACGAGAAGTTACTGGATTCTACAAAGGGAACCAAGTAAGAGTACTCCACTCAGCTCTTATAAATTTACTTATGGAACTTCCTCGCTAAGGGTGATTTTCCCTGGGGGAAGGGGATGGCGGGGGAATTGGTGCGGTAGTGTGAGAAGTTATAGTATCCGTGTTTGTCAAAATGTTCTGACAAAATGTCACTTCACGTGTTCTGGTCGAAATGTACCCGTCAAAATCGGGGTTCATGAAAATCGAGCACGTCGCAAACCGCTTTCTGTGAAAAAAGCACCCGTTATTTTGTCAAATTCTGGAAGCATTACCCGTCGCAAATAAGCCCTGCTTTGGTGTTCAAAACCCACGCCACGTCAGGCGTGGCGTCTACCTTGTCGCTTTTGCCGAAGCCGAAAACAGTTCACCGCGCTAGAAACCTCCTCGTTCCTTCTTCGCCTTTATTTCACCCACCTGCTGGGTTCCGCGGCGACTGCCTTGTCCCGCCCGCTGCCCGCCCACGCATTCCTCTCCTCCCTCCCACCCATCTCCTGAGCCCACCCACAATCTGCCCCCAGCCCCAGCCGCCCCGACTTCCGACCAATCCGATCGGTCCAACCACCCACTCATGTCCAATCCGATTGGCTCTGGTAGGTGGTGCTTTCTCTTCCAGCCCAATAGCCGCTCTTCCCTCGCCTGCATACACCTAATCCGCGGTAACGATAAACCTAGTATTTTCACACCCTATGTCGCGTAGTGGCGCGGTAAAGCTTCAACAGTTAGGGGCGCATTGAAACAGGCGGCCCCTAGCCAGTGGGAGAAAGAGCCACCTGAATAGGCTTGGAATCGGTGACGACCTGTCGATTTTGAGGCTTTGTGCACAGGAGCGCGTCATTAGGGGGAGCAGAAACGAAACTCGCTTCTGGAAGCACCAGTAGTACTGTACAGCTGCCACATCGGAGTTGACCAACTCAAATGAAATCGGCAGAATCCTTCCTAATTGGCTCGAGCAAAATACACCCAATGAGCACACGAAATAGAGGGATGGTCGCATAATAAAATAACAGCACATCAAAGAGGAATCCCAGACTCTGAAATTGAGACACGATATTGAATGTGTTTACAAATTCCCGAAGAGGAATTCCTCGCGCGACATGCAATCACAACACAAAGGCAACACGAAATCAGCTACTTAAGAGTGTCCTAAGTTATGCACAGAAAGCATGCGAGCCAATGAAGAACGGCATGCACAATGCCGACCAGACCTGGAAATGTAGCTTTGACTCGAGAGGAGAAACGATGCCTCTCCTTGCACCGCCAGGAATGCCTGTTGGACAACCACAACTGCCTTGCGGCATAGTGTCAGTCCGAGTTCGGCGAGAGGCTGGGCCGCACTACAATCGTTGGTTGGCTCAGACTCCGCTGCCTGCCTTGCGTAAGCGTCTCCGGTCTGGCGGGCAACCCAAGCTGGAGGAACGGTTGAAGGAATGGGCTATGAGCCACATTAAAGGAAACCGCCCTATTTCCTTCAACGTGTTGCAAATGAAGGTGGGTGAGACCGGCCGCAAAATGGGGATTGTGCAATCTTTCAGGTACAGCAGTGGTTGGCTGTGTCGTGCATTGGTACGCATGGGCCTCGCTTCATATGTTCTCAAAGGAGAGGCGAAAGATGCAAACAAGGAATCAAGCACCCATGGACGTGAGTTTCTGCAGGTACTTTTGGAGGACTTCTACTATGAGCCCGTCGACGTGTTTAACTGTGACGAAACGGGCTGGTACTATGCCCAGCAGCCGCGACGTTCCTACGCAGACGAGCCGCAAGCTTGTGGTAAGGCGAACAAGGAGCGCGTTACCCTTGTACTGTGTTGCAACGCAGATGGGTCTGAGTTGATGGCGCTGATTGTCATTGGTACTGCATTGCGTTCTTCGTCATCCGGCCAAGATTTCACCGTTCACGATTTCGTGTGGCACCGTTCGAACAAACCGGGATGGATGACTTCAGAGGTATCACGTCATTTTTTTTAGGCTCTGATGTTGATCAGAGTTTTTTTATAATATATCTGCTTGGTATTGCAGGTTTTCTTGAAGTGGCTTGCCGAGAAGAATGTGGATATGACCTTGGCTGACCGAAGGATTGCTATCCTTGTCGACAACGCCTCAGCCCACAATGTTATCAACATCGAGGGCGCACTCAGAGAACGCCGATACGGCTTCAACATTGTGACGCTTAGCACCATTCGTATCATCTACTTGCCACCCAATTGCACTTCTCATGTGCAACCGATGGATCAAGGCATTATATGGACCGTGAAGCTGCGATACCGAAAACTCATAATAGAATGGCTCATTCGGAAATTTGGCAGTCCCGATACTAATCAGGACCCGAAAGATGTTCGGTCTGGTTTGAGGAATGCCATCCTCTGGATGCACGGTTGTTGGCTTGGGATGGAACAAGACATCATTCGGCGGTGCTGGAGGCGAGCGGGAATCGTGCCGCATTCATGGCTGGAATCTTGGGGCATGAGTAGGGTGTATGAGGGGCCTCCCCGTGACCCATCTCGACCCGACGTCGTAGCGTTCCAGCGACTAATCTGTAACCTGTCTTTGGATGAGCCAGCTATGACCGCCCTGCAATTTGTACGGTATGACAACCATCTGGCGACGTGCTCGAACGTCCAAAATGATACTGAGTGGGTAGGCCGTAGCTTCTGGGCGCCAACCCGCATCGGTGCTCCTCTACCCTTCGACCTTAACGACCCCCCCCCTCCCCCCTTCTCCAGCCGACGCCCCTTGTTGATGCTGCGACGAGGGCCGACATTCGTGCCATTAAGGAATGCGCCCAAGATAGCAGGTTTGCGCCGTGCATATTTCCTGCTGTCCTTCAGTCAAGACGTGGGCGCTTGAACGACTCTATCAACTGGGATCACGTGGAGTGGGTCCGTGCGGGTCAGCTTAATCATTGTTAAATTATGCTTGGCGGGCTTAGGTTCTATGGCATTAAACAAAAACAGCTTTACTAGAGGCCTCTGTTGTGTGAAGTTTTACTTTGAGCTTGTTCGGTGCTTTGTTGGTTTTGTGTTCTCAATTTCGCATTCCACATTTTGTACTAGGTTTGAACACTTGGGCGATGCATTGAAACTCCAACCCAGCGCGACATTTCGAGCAAGGGAGCCTCGGTTGAGTGAGTTAGCATTTTCAGGCTCGGGTTGCGACAACGTGGCACCATTTTCGGTTCGGCGGATGACCCCTGTGAAGATACTGGGGTGTTTCGCGCCCCAGTAATTTCACACCTTCAGGATACGCCAAACGTTTGCTATCCATTTTCAGGGTGCAAAATTACCGCGGTTTAGGTGTACATCCAATACTGTAAATGGCTGGCAGTCGTGCGGCTCCTCCAGCCCCGTACAGCTCCCCTTGCCTCACGCTACATTCCTGACCTCCCCCTCCCCTCTCCATCCCCTTACCTCCCCCCCACCCCATTTCTCCTCCATTCCCCTCCCTACCCTTGTGTACAGAGGACTGTTTTGTGTACAGTGTGGCACAAAATCTGCACTCTCCTCTCCCCACACTCGTTTCTCTTCTTGTCAGCCCTGCTGAATACACTGCATTCGTCTTCAATGTTGCCCCCATGCCACAATTGCAGCCTGGTCCCAACCTGCAGCAAACGCTGGTCCCAGACCACTTCCCTTGCTAGTCGCTGTTCGTGGTTCTGAATTCCACATTCACAGTTTCTCGACTTGCTAGTTTCTCTACGAGTCTCGCAGATCTTGCTTAGAACTGCATAGTATATCTTCAAGGTGAACCGGCCATTCCGTCCTACATTCCTCCCGCGCAGTACATGTTCAGGCGGAGGAGTCATATCGTTTTGTAGCCATCATGGAACGCGATAAGTGGGTCGTTCGCAGATGCGTCTCCGCGACTGACATTCGAACCAGCGATGAAGTTTTTTTCTCCGCTACCAGCTTCCACTCTTACACCTCACACGACGCAAACTTTGCCGACGAACAGGACGACGTTGACGGCTCGTTTCGGTTTTGGCGCACCGATTCTCGCCATTCGCTTCACTTCAGTGCCACGTCGGATGAGTTTTCCTGCGCAGACGCGGCTCGCGCGTGCGACCCCGAATGGGTGGAGGACGCGCGGTCGCGAATCCGCCACGCGGCGCTCGAGGTTGTCGAAGCGCAGCAGCGGTACGCGGAGCACAACAGGAGATTAAACGACATGGCGGGACTCGCGACAAGCTGCGAGCTCAGTCCACGCGTGGTTCCGTCGCGGGCTGCTTCGAGCAGGCCCGTCCGCAATGCTGGCTCCTCAGCTAAATCTCAGGCTTCCCTTGATCTCCATGGCAGGAGAACAGCTTCGAGGGGCTGTGACGTTTCTAAGGGGCGGAGAGTGGGCGCCCGGAAGGGCAGGGGAAAGCTTTTGGGGTTGGTTCTAGGTTTTCTCCCATGGATGCGTGTATGACAACTCAATGTGTACATAAAAAGCCTTCTGTGAGCTTTGAGTAACGGTAGCACGAGAGCAAACATCATACCCACGGGTGATGTGTGTACATGAAATAAGCTGTGCGAGCCTTCAGTAGCCCCATGAAGAAAGCAGTGTTCAACCGTTGGCCTCATTCGAGTAGAAAGTAACTGATGCGTTTCTCTGTCTTTCCCAGGCTTCGATGCAGCAATACTCCCACCATGTCCATACATTTTCAGCGTGTCATATTCTGTGGTAATTAGGCTACATGCATTTGACGGATTACTGTTCTATGTAACATTTTGAGTGAGTACGAAAACGATGTGCACAGTACAGGACACCAAGTGTGGCGATGGATGGCTTGGTGGGGTTGCGGGCGTGGGACCAAATACGTCGGGCAGTACAGAATAGATTCAAGATTCGAAATGTTATGAATCTTGAATCGGAGTAGCGAAAACTGGGTGGACTTCCCGCATCTTTTCCCCCCATTCCTGGGGTGTGTGAAAAACATGGTATAACGACCTCTTGACACAAGTGCATTTGTATGCACAGTGGAGGCCTGAACTTCTTTCTTCCTCCCCCCGGCAACCAGAGGCTGGTTGAACCAGCCCAGCATCACACGATCGCAAATCTCATGTGGCGGCGGATTGTTTACAAGTTACAGCACAACCATCATGGCCCCTCCTCTCTTTTCACCTCCTGTGTCCATCTATGCCTTACGATTTGCGGCGGAACCTAGACTCCTTCCAGAAGCCTGTGGAGGAGGATGGCGGAGTCAGCAGGCAGGGTAGTCGTCGTCAGCATCCTTGTGCGCGGCAGCAGAAACCATAGTTCGCGGGCTTAAAGCGAGGGTCTCAAGAAGCAGAAAACCAAATCCAAAGGTTTTGGTTTCTGGGGGTATCGAAAATTGCGAGGTGTGGTGAGGGGTGCTGGTTGGGCGCTGTTACTGTTTCGCTAATTTCGTCAACCCAAAACCAAACCTTCTGGATTTGGTTTCGCGCTTCTTGAGACCCTCGCTCTGAGATGTCCACCTGACCTGAGGAGTCGACGAGAATATGTTCTCCGCACAAGCCGGCGGTTGACTTGCATTCAGGGCGTGTAACAAAAGTCCCCTTCAGTGTTTAAAAACCGCTTCACGTCTCCAAAGCGGTTTGCCGAGCATATAAAACGGTTGAGTAGGGTTCCGAGGGAACACTGGTGACATGCCATTAGGGAACGCTTCGCAACATGTTGCTATGGAAACAGAGGAGGGGCGGCAGCACGTACTGTACAGTATTGCAATAGAGATACAGTACCCTATCCTTCGCTAGTTCCCATTCCCACGCTTCGTCTCCCGTCCCGTCGTCCGACGCTTCGGTCTATTTGGCCCAATGGAAGCACCCTCAGTCACTAACCGTCTCTGTCGCGGTGACGATGTACTGTACTGTACTGCCACCGTTCGATTTTCCCACCATTCCCCCCACGTGTTCGCGATGACGACATTCTCTCACTAGCTGCCTGCCACGCCTCTGTCGCAGTGGTCGCGCCACGTCACGCCGTGTGCACAACAGCAGCGCTGCATGTGAAGCAGCAGTACAGTGCCGCCCAAGAACGAGCATTCGCCGCTCCATCGTTTGCAGCTCGCGATCGGGAGTCAACATTTGTATCGGATTGCGATTCCCGTCCCGAAATAGGCCTCGTTTGTCCGCTCTTCCGATCTTTCACGTCAGCCGCCCATGTGCGTGTCGCGGCAGCGGACAATCCCTCAGTGATTCACGCGGAAGTTCCGAAATATCTCGAGCTAACCTGTGTCCGTCCGTGAAGATGGAAAATATCGGCGAGCTTAACGGGGGGATTTCCTGGGGGGTGTGAATTCTGAGGGGCGTGCGCTTGGCGGGTGTGCGCTCTGCGGGGTACGCACAGGGTGTGCGTTCCCCAGAGTGTGGGCTCCCTAGGGGGATTGCGCCCTGTGATGGTGTAGGGGGTGTTGGGAGGGAGGAGGGGGTCGGGGGGGGGCTCTCACTGGAGCATTCCAGCAGGGTCGATGGGCTCCCCCAACTTGCGGCAGCACTTAGGGACTCCCAAACATCTATCCGTATTTAGTGCACCTCTCCTTCACCACGGCAACATCCCTCGCGACTCTATATTCACATCTGTTCCAACGACCTGCATTTCGTTTCCCCTGAGAGTCTCACAATCATGGGACGCGCTGCCAGCCCACTCAACTTCGCTGCGACCACCAGTACTACGGCCACCCGTCCCAAAAATTGGGGGCCGGAAACCTATGCACCTGCTTCGCACGTTCGCGGAAGTGCTATGCACCTACTATGCTCGTGAAGGCTATGTCTAAACGTGTTCATCAGTGAAGCATAAACATAGTTCCGAAATGCAAAGCTCATACAAAGCACCTACTTAGTGCGAGGAATGTCGAGGTGCATTGCGTTTATATTGTCCATGCTGATCGTCGTGCTATGATGTTGCGCTAGACGTAGCATGCGCTATGCATGTGCTTTGTGTGCTTTCGTCATTGCTATGTAGATGCTATGCAGACACATAGTATTTCAAGCCTGAAGCATTCCCGCCACAATTCATGTTGTTTTATATCTAGTACACTAGGTGCAGTAATTCTGTATTTACATTTTCATAAAACATCTTGATTCGCAAATAAAAAATACAACAAAATTGAACTACAAATTCAGCACTTCCCTTGCTCGATTTCGGGAAGGTGACAGATCATGAGAACGGGATAAAAGCGGTGACATGGAAACGGATCCCGTTCAACGGCTATTTCCACCATGCCTTCAAAGTTGCTTCATCAAGGTCGTGACTGGGTTCTGTCCACTCTTTTCCAGAGCCCTGCATGCCAGCTGAGTACAGGGCAGAGAATGCAAGGCGACAAGACAGGTAGAAATTCTAACAGCATAATTCAACTTACGGATTTCGGCATACAGTAGTAGTACAATCAAAATCTTGTCCAGCAAACAGGAAACCGGGACCGGAGGGTGAGTTGATAAGAGAAATAGGACGGGAAACGACGGAGTCATGATACATTCAGACTTACCGTTTAGGCCGCCATGGTGATAGTGCCCGGATCGAGGATCGCGGCTGGTACACCATACGGAGGTGCTGCCTTTTGACATAAGAATTTTCTTGATGAGGAACCTGCAACGAAGTAAGAAAAACCAAAGTTATTAGTCAGCAGAAAGGGGCTGTACTGTGGAACGCTATAAAAACTACCGATACGCAGGAACGAAAACGCCACAGCTCCTACTCAGTGCAGTCTTAGATCTAGGAGTTCAGAGTGGTATGAAAATGGAGAAGGAAGGCTAGCGGGTGGGAGAGCGAAGTCTAGAAATGAGGAAGAGGGTTCTGAGCACATGATGGGTCATATGAGAAGGAATTGAGACGTGAGGTGAGGAGTTTCCGTGGCTACATATTCTGGGTGTGGGTTGATAAGGGGGTGATGTGGTGGTTGGGGATTGGTCAGAAGTTGGCTGCACAATTTTTGCTGGCTCGACCGTTCTTTGGTACGATACAAAGTGTCTCGTTTCTAAGAAATCTGTGTTGCGTCTCTTTTACGGTCACCATAAACAATCGCAAATTATACAGCTCCCCTACCCAGTTTGTCAAACTGATTTTCCCTTTCGCGAAACGTGTCGAGTTTTCGCCGAAGCGCGTCGAGTTTTCGCCGACCATATTTTCGCCCATATTTTTTTGAAGCGCGTCGAGTTTCCATTGACCAATTACAGACGAGAAATTTGGCCTCTCTCGTGTTTTCTGATTGGCTGGTACGATATTTGTCCTTGGCCAATCTCAACCGACCCAGCATGCTGCTCTTGGCCTAGGCAACCCGTGCTTCTTTGGTATGGTCGTTGGGATGTGGCTGGAATGAAGCGGAAACCTACATAACGCTAATAATTCGCCACGGTAGCGGATAGGTTTAGGTTTGGAGGGCCCGATGAAGCGGGGACATAGGGCCTCTGGACAAAGCCTTTGCCAATGTGGACTTTGCTCCCACGAAGCCTTCGTCCCTGCTTCATTCCCATTTCCTCTCAACCTCGTCCAGGGGGACTTCGTAAACCCTTAGTCACAAATGTCCAACCCAACCCCGATTCACATTTTTGGGATGCCCTCCCCTCCTCCTCCTCTCCTCCCCTCGTCTTACAGCGGAGAGCGCATCATCGTCCGACTTCCTGCCCCCGCTCCCCTCCTGGCCGTCTGAGTACGCGGGGGTTGCGCCGCTTCCCTCCGACGACTCCGCCGCCACCTTTCACGTGACGGACAACGGCGCGCAGCCCGACGGACGAGTGGACAGCTGGAGCGCCTTCCGCCACGCTTTTGGCGCAGCGTGCAAGTACGCGGAGGCAAAGGGCGGTGCTGTGCGGTGCTGCGCGGTGCAGCTGCAGCGGCAGCCCGTCCAGCCAATCAGATCGCTCCGTGGCTGCGCTGCTGGCGGACACAGTGGCTGGGATGCACGCTGAAAAGGAGGAGAGGGGGGGAGAAAAACAGGAGGAGCAAGAGGAGGAGACTTGTCCTATGCATCCGTTATATCCGGATCCCTCGAGAGAGATACCCGGATCTGCCGTTTGGACGAAAATGCTAAGGAAAGCCCGGCCGTGTTCCGCAAACACGGACAAAAAGTCTTTGGTTTGTTTGTGGAATGGGTTGGGAAGAGATCAGAGAGAAAATCGAAGGAAGACGGTCACGCCACGTCACGTCGCTTGGTGACGCAGTGGCTTTTGTGTGGGGTGGGGTACCCTTGTTGCCCGAGTCAGTCACCCCATGTTTTTGGGCGGCTGGGACTGAAAGCGTCTCCGACAATTCGCGCACCTCGCCACGGGAAGAATGGGATTGTAAGTGTGTTGGAATGTTACCACTTTGGCATACGCGGATTGCGACGGGGGGCTGAATTTGTACATTTGAAAATACCCGGGGGCTGAATTTGTACTTTATGAATTTGTAGTTTCCGAAATACCCTACGGACGAAATATGACATGCTGTCATGGCTGGCAAGTTCCACTGTTGCCGTTGTCTTCTCTGGAAACAGTGCGGGCCATGTTCTAGAAACAGAGGTACGGTTGCCCGTGCTAGAAACATAAGTGTTGCGGGAAGCTTTTGTGAGTGAACCGAGACGTGACTGACTCGGCAACAAGGGTGGCGTTTTCGCGAACAGCAGCAGTTTTGAACTGCAAAAACAACAGCTTCCCTAAACTGCCCGAAAAGCTTCCTTACAGAACTGTTGAGGCGCTTGAGAACAACGCCTACAGAACACCCGTGTTCAGGGAGTGTCTAAAGTGGGATGTCGACAAATGTCGTCGACATCCGCCGACATCCGAGTTAATTTCAGTACGTTTGAGCTAGTTTTAAAAAAGGTTACAGAAGGTTTCTAAATCGGTGCTTCGACATCCAGGATGTCGTAGGAAGTCGCCTGGCTTTTTGGACACGCACTTAAACGGGCAGTTACTCTACAGTACTACATCGGGCAGCTGTGCTCCATGTGGCTGGGTGAACAGAAATGGATGCTCTCGCAGAGCACGTGCAAGTGGACAGAAGTGTATTTCGGGTAACATCGAACTGGATAGGATAGCAGCAGCGAGCTTTCCGTCCGTGGAGCAACAGTCGTTCTTCTTGTCTCCATTCCGCCTCCACTTTAGTGTGCAGGCGCAACAGTTGATGCGGATTCCGCGTTGTCCTTCAATGGATCCGTTTGGTCAAGTTGCCGCATCTTTGGAACTTTACCCACACCTTGCCTTGCGGTTCGTCCTCGCCACAAACGGGGTGCGGTTGCCCGTGCCAGAAACAGAAGTGATGCGGGAAGCTTTTGTGAGAACCGAGACGTGACTGACTCGGGCAACAAGGGTACATCCCAAAAATTGGGGGCCGGAAACCTATGCACCTGCTTCGCACGTTCGCGGAAGTGCTATGCACCGACTATGCTCGTGAAGGCTATGTCTAAACGTGTTCATCAGTGAAGCATAAACATAGTTCCGAAATGCAAAGCTCATACAAAGCACCTACTTAGTGCGAGGAGTGTCGAGGGGCATTGCGAAAACATTGTCCATGCTGATCTTCGTGCTATGATGTTGCGCTAGACGTAGCATGCGCTATGCATGTGCTTTGTGTGCTTCCGTCATTGCTATGTTTTTGCTATGCAGACACATAGTATTTCAAGCCTGAAGCATTCCCGCCACAATTCATGTTGTTTTATATCTAGTACACTATGTAGTAATTCTGTAAACCCATGGGAGATATAACAGCTTGATTGCACAAAATTTAAAATACAACAAAATTGAACTACAAATTCAGCACTTCCGTAGCTCGATTTCGGGCAGAACGGGATCACGAGAACGGGATAAAAGCGGTGACATGGAAGCGGATTCCGTTCAACGGCTATTTCCACCATGGCTTCAAATTTGCTTCATCAAGGTCGTGACTGGGTTCTGTCCACTCTTTTCCAGAGCCCTGCATGCCAGCTGAGTACAGGGCAGAGAATGCAAGGCGACAAGACAGGTAGAAATTCTAACAGCATAATTCAACTTACGGATTTCGGCATACGGTAGTAGTACAATCAAAATCTTGTCCAGCAAACAGGAAACCGGGACCGGAGCGTGAGTTGATAAGAGAAATAGGACGGGAAACGACGGAGTCAGGATACATTCAGACTTACCGTTTAGGCCGCCATGGTGATAGTGCCCGGATCGAGGATCGCGGCTGGTACACCATACGGAGGTGCTGCCTTTGGACATAAGAATTTTCTTGATGAGGAACCTGCAACGAAGTAAGAAAAACCAAAGTTATTAGTCAGCAGAAAGGGGCTGTACTGTGGAACGCTATAAAAACGACGAACGGTATAACTACCGATACGCAGGAACGAAAACGCCGCGGCTCCTACTCAATGCAGTCTTAGATCTATGAGCTCAGGGTGGTATGAAAATGGAGAAGGAAGACTAGGGGGAGGGAGAGCAAAGTCTAGAAATGAGGAAGAGGTTGCTGAGCACATGATGGGTCATATGAGTAGGAATTGAGACGTGAGGTGAGGAGTTTCTGTGGCTACCTATTCTGGGTGTGGGTTGATAAGGGGGTGATGTGGTGGTTGGGGATTGGTCAGAAGCTGGCTGCACAATTTTTGCTGGCTCGACCGTTCTTTGGTACGATACAAAGTGTCTCGTTTCTAAGACATCTGTGTTGCGTCTCTTTTACGGTCGCAATAAACAATCGCAAATTATACAGCTCGGCTACCCAGTTTGTCGAACTGATTTTCCCTTTCGCGAAGCGTGTCGATTTTTCGCCGAAGCGCGTCGAGTTTTCGCCGACCGCATTTTCGCCCATATTTTTCTTAAGCGCGTCGAATTTTCATTGACCAATTACAGACGAGAAATTTGCCCTCTCTCGCGTTTTCTGATTGGCTGGTACGATATTTGTCCTTGGCCAATCATAACCGACCCAGCACGCTGCTCTTGGCCTAGGTAACCCGTGCTTCTTTGGTATGGTTGTTGGGATGTGGCTGGAATGAAGCGGAAACCTACAGGACGCTAATAATTCGCCACGGTAGCGGATAGGTTTAGGTTTGGACGGCCCGATGAAGCTGGGACATAGGGCCTCTGGACAAAGCCTTTGCCAATGTGGACTTAGCTCCCACGAAGCCTTCGTCCCTGCTTCATTCCCATTTCCTCTCAACCTCGTCCTGGGGGACTTCGTAAACCCTTTGTCACAAATGTCCAACCCAACCCCGATTCACATTTTTGGGACGTACTCCCTACTTCAACGACGGTTCACTCTCTCTCTCAACCGTCATCCCCTGTCTGTACTTAACGATCTGCTAACAGTCTCACTTCCTACCAAGCCCTTACATGATTCATTAGCCACTGAGTTAGTTCTGTTCTCAGTAATTCAGCAGCATGACTGCAGTCGTTTGCCTCGAGTCGGATTCCCAGCTGTATCGTCGTCGCAAGAACATGCACAGCCTTTCCGTAGACCTCGCGCGCGTTCCTCGCTTCGATCACCGACGGTTGGCTTCATCGCATGAACTTACACCCTTCTCCTCTCTCCTCCGCGGCGAAGTTCACGCTCTTCCCCACGATGCGCCATCATCGCATGCATCCACTGCCGCGTCTCGCCGCCCCCTGCTCTCGCGCAGCCCAAATCCCGCCGCACCTCGCTCGGCGGTTCGTCCGGTTCCTGTGCGCGCGTGTATACTGACGCATGCCACGCGCCCGTGTCCACGTCACCGACATCGTGGCAGCCGCGCTCCCCCACGGTCGTGCGCAGCCCGCACGCGGAGATCATCCGCCAGCAGGCGGAGTCCGCGCAAGCGCGCGAGGCGGAGATGGACCGCGCGTGGGAGAGCGCGGAGCGCGCATCTGAGAGCTCAGCAGGAGATTTCACCGCAGCCCAGCCGACAGAGAAGGAGCGCGGTCAGCATGCGGCCAGCTGCGACGGCGAAAATCGCCGCGGCGACGAAGAAATCTCTCCTAGAAGCTTAGCGCTGAAGCTTTGCTCTTCCAAATTCGGGTGGCGCACGTTTCTCTCCCCTGCTGCTTCGCGTCTCGCATCACAGCCGACGAATCTGAGCCGTCCGAGTCAAGGCGGCGGCGGCGCGCGAGATATGCATGGTCCGGGAACCAAGGAGGCCTCGAGAAGTTTCCGTGAAATGCTGCGGGAGCTCCAACGCGGCGTCGAGTCGGGCGCGTGTGAGAATACCTTTTCCGCCATCGGCGCACCGTCTGCGTCATCGGCGCAAAGAGATGCGACAATTGACGCGCCTCCGAGCCTTCATCGGTGCGCTCGCTCGCTTACCAGCATCTCCGCCCAAGATGTTTTCCCCATCGGGGAGATTTTTCCCGAGGCATCATCCGCTGTTGCTTCAAACAACGGCGCATCCGTCGGCATTGCCGACGCGGTGCGCGCGGCTAACTCAGACTGCGGAAGTATTTTGACTCGGCCGCATTTTTTCGTGGCGGATGCGTGCGAGGAGCAAGGCATCAAGCGAACGGGATTGGAAGGAGTGCGAGAGGACGACTTGACGGATGACAACGGCGATCAAGATCGACGCCAAGCGACTCCCACAGGGTTTAATGCGCGGTTTCAAGGCCCGCCGATCGGCTCGAATATGCTTCACGCTCCGCGCGCTGGTGAAGCCGTCGGCGCTGGTCGCCGGCTGGTCAAGCAGTGGGGAAGCGCGAACTCGATTCCTTTGTCACCTGCTGCCCAATCCCAGCTGACCTACCGCTCTAAGAATTGCTCGAGCGCTAATAGCCTAAGACCGGATTGCCTTAGTCCTACAGACGCTACCATGGGCAGGGAATCCCCGCCTCCGCCCGTCCCCTGCCTTCTCCGGCGGCACGCAAGCATGACCACCCCTGATGTGTGTAGCGGAGGGACTGATCGGGCTGCAAGAGGGCACAGGAGGAAGGTGTCGTTTAATTCTATGGTGCACGTTAGAACGTACATGTGTGTAGAAGCATGAGACATCTGTCAAACATATATTGCATGTTGTTGTAGACTACAGTGGCGGATTAAATTGTCCACATGTTTTGCCTTTTTTGGCATTTTTATGAGTGCAGAGGCGTATACATTAAGCCTTAATGTAAGGTGTGCATTAACGCTGAGAAGTTCAGTTAGAGCAGTCACTCCAGTGTTCAAACACCAAAGTAGTACCACACATGGTCCTTAAACTCCTAAGCATAGCATGGGAGAACATGTGGACAATTTGTACCGGAAAATGGTATCACACTAGATTCTAGGAAAACTAGTACCTAGTCCAGCGTCCCTTTGCCCGAATCACTGCCTTGATCCTCCTCGGCAGGCTGTCGATCAGGTTTGCACACACCTCCGGCGGTATCTTGTCCCATTCCTCCTGCACCCTCTCCCACAGCTCCAGCATTCCCCTTGGCGGCTTTTCGTACTTCCCCAGCTGCCTTTTCAAGTATGCCCACAGGTGCTCAATTGGGTTAAGGTCCGGGGAGCACGACGGCCATTCCAGCACCGCGTACTCCTGCTCCCCAAGCCAGTCTTGGACCAGACGACACCTGTGCTTGGGATCATTGTCGTGCTGGAAAATGACCTCTGAGGGGGAAAGCTTGAAAAAATCGATGGTCTGTTTGAGCTCATCTTGCAAGATGCTGCGATACAGCGGCCCATCCATCCTGCCATCTATCTTGCACATGAACCCCGCCCCCTCATACGTCATGCAACCCCACACCATCACAGAACCGCCCCCATGCTTAACTGTCTGTTGGACTTGGTGGCTCCGAAGGCTGGTGCCCTCGCGAATCCAGGCGTACGCACGTCCGTCGGAGCAGTAGCGGTTAATCTTCGTCTCGTCAGACCAAATCACCCGCTTCCAGTCCTCCAGCGTCCAGTCGGCATGCGCCCGCGCGAAGTCGAGACGATCGCGGATGTTTTTCGGTGAGAGCCTGGGTTTCTTGGGCTGATGCACGGCGATCAGCCCCGCGGATCGTAAAGAGTTGCGGACCGTCTTCGAGTCTACGGCGAGATCGTGCTTCTCCAACAACATCTTGGCCGCGTCTGAAGAGCTTTTCGCCTCGCCGCTAGTAATCGCACGTATAACTCCGCGCTGGAGACGGGTTGTGATTAAGCGGGGGCGGCCGGCCGAAGGCATCGTAGGTCGCACCTCCTCGCGACTAGTCTCCTCAGCGAGTTTCATACCGTAATCGTGCACGGTGCTCTTGCCTATGCCAAGAAGTTTCCCTATTTTCCTAGTCGAATGCCCCGCACGCAACATGCTTCTGATCCTCGCGCGCTTCTTCTCATTTAACGGCTTCATAGCGATGCGGTCGTAGGCTCGCTTCCGGACTAACAACTAAGCTAGGAACTGGTGCGCGTGACGATGTACACACTGAGCGACGGGGGAAAATAGATCTACTCTTCCGCTCGGTAGGAAATGTCCACATCGACAGTCGAGTAGTAAATTTCAACCCCACTTTCCGTTAGTGTCACAATCGCGCCAAGCAAGAAACGGATGAAGCAGAACTCAAAAACCGAGTAACAGAATGGAAAAAAACGGGTGTTACTATTTTCGAAACATGTGTTGCATAACGATACGTTTCAAAGTGTTAAACATCCGGGCAATTTAATCCGCCACTGTATATAGGGTTGTGCCTTAGGGAGTACAACCCATTAGGTTCTACTCCCTTGTATGTCTTGTTCTAGTCATCCTTTCGACTTAAACATGGTATCTTGAGTAGGTAGCCCCCTCCCCCCCCCCCTCCCTCCATGGCGCTCGCGCCCTAGGTCCTAGCCGCCTCGTCGCCCCATGGTCCCGTCCCCTAGCGGCCCCGTCACCTCGCGGCCCTGCCTCCCAGCTGGCCCCGCCTCCTACCCGGCTCCGTCTCCTAGCCGGCCTCGTCACCCAGCCGGCCCCGTCTCCCTACCGGCCCCACCTCTTAGCCGACCCCGTCGCCTAGCAGGCCCCGTCGCCCGACCGGCCCCGTCCCCTTGCTGGCCCCCTTGCCTAGTCGGTCCCGTCGCCTTGCCGCCCGCGGCCCCGTCTCCTAGTTGCCTCGCCGCCGTCCTCGGCCCTCTGCACTGCGCTGCACCGCCCTGCATAGCTCTACACCGCACTGCACCGCTCTGCACCGCACAGCAGTGCTCTGCACCGCTTATCACCGCACCCTATTGTCCAGTACTGCCTTTCTGCTGCTGCAGCGGCCATGATGGCGGACTCGGTCCTGCGGTTTGATGCGGAGGGGGAGCCGATTGAGTTCGACTCGTGGTTCGTCGACCTCCAACGACACCTGACGGTCAGCGGCAGGACGGCCACTCCCTAGCCGTCCAAATTGACGGTACACTCCCCTGCCCGGACCCCCCTGCTGCCCTCCTTGCTGACCCCACGTCAGCTGACCGTGAGTCCGTTGCCGCTGCTGCTGCCCTTGCCCGTGCGGTCTGGTTGTCGCGTGACGTGGTCGCACAGCTTGCAATGAGTCTAGCAGAATTGAAGAAGTGATTAGAAGAAGAGAGTACAGGGGTATACAGCCTAGAGTGTTGTACCCTCTAAGGCACAAACCCATATTGTCGATACTAACATACTTTGATACGTTTGACACACCCCCTATACTATATAGGGGCAGTGCCAAACAAGAAAACAAGAAGCTCAGGGCGGCACTACTAGTCCGTCCACTGAGACAAGGGTCTAAAGACCAGTCAAACAGAGTACAGGTACAACAAGAGCAAGACCAGGGTGGCACTACTAGTCCAACCACTGGGATAGGTCACAAGGCCAGTCAGGGTAAAATATATAAAGGACAGTACATAGTCAAGGCCCTAGCATGTGAGATGCAACAGGAACAAAACCTAGCTGTACACAGTGCCGCTGATGATCTTTAGGCGCAAGCACATTCGTAAAGATATCCGCTGTGTTGGCACCGGAAGCCAAGTGTACTACGCGGGCCTGGCGACACTGCTGTAGCTCGCGCAGGAGGAAGTACCGCAGCTGAATGTGCTTCGCTCTGCCCTCAAGTCGAGGCTCCTGACAAAGGAGGATCATGGCCCTGTTATCAGCATACACGACTGGGGCAGAGCTAGGCTGCTCACCTAAGTCTGTGAGCATGAACGTAAGCCAGCGGAGCTCCTGTGCAGCCATGGCACCGGCGTAGATCTCGGCCTCACAGCTGGACTGAGCAACAGACGAGGAGCGAGTAGCTCTCCATGAGACAGCACTTGAACCAAGGCTAAAGTACTAGCCCTGTGAGGACCTGAGGGTCTCGGCGTCGTCTGCCCATGAAGCGACTGTGTGTCCAGTAAGGACCACTGGCCTGCGTCCTCCCAGCACTAACCCCATGCCCCATGTAGTTACAAGATAACGTAAAACCCTCTTAGCAGCAGACCAGTGCTGAGGTCGGTGTCTGCCTGTGGCCACAAAGCAAGCCAGGATGCTGAGAGGGTATGCGAGATCTAGACGAGTGCAAGTCATCAGGTACATGAGGCAACCCACCAGCTCTGCGTAAGGACTACTGGGCTCTGCCAACTCCTCAGGAACTGGAGCTGAGAGCCTATGGTCTACTGGCAGAGATGTGGGCTGTGCGGTGGAGAACTGAAGACCGAACCTCTGAAGGACCTGGCGCACCAAGTGTGACTGGGTGAGGGTGATGGTGCGCGATGCTCTGTCTCTGGAGATCTGCAAGCCAAGGTAGCGGCGCAACTCTCCTAGGCCAGTGCAGGTGTGTCTCCTCAGCAGCTCGGCCTTCACGGAGGCCAGTGTGTCAGTGTCTGCAGTGGCAAAGACCAGATCGTCTACGTAAACGAGGATGTAGAACGGAGTCTCGCCAGAATGAACGAAGAGCGAGGGGTCTGCTGAGGACGGAAAGAACTGCAGGTCTGCAAGGGTAGCACGCAGCGTGTCGTGCCACTCACGGGGTGCCTGTCGCAGGCCGTAGACTGGGCGCCGCAGGAGCCACTGGGTCCCAGGAGGGAAGGTACAAGTGAAGCCCTGAGGGCGGCGCAGGTAGACCTGCTCGTGTAGACTGCCCTGAAGAAACGCAGAGGAGAAGTCGAAGGAGTGTAGCTCGTAGTCACGCTGTGCGGCTACGTGCAGTAGTGCCCGAAGAGTAGTCATCTTTGGGGTCGGGGCCCCAGACGTCCATGTGCAGGGTCTGTAGCGGTGCGACGGTGAGGGGGAACGAGGAGGAGTGAGGGGCACGGCGGAGCCGGCCCTCGACACAGGGCGTGCACGGTGGCGCTGGGGAGGAGGGCAACTCGGGGAACGACTCTGGGAGACTGAGGACAAGACTGTGCTGAGACACGTGACGCAGACGCAAGAGCGCAGGGTGACCAAGACGGTGGTGCCACAGGAGTGTTGGGTGAGTAAGCGACTGACACGAGTAGGCCGCAGCAACCCGAGGAGACGCAGCTACCTGAGGAGACGTTCCAACCGGGGGGGGAGGACGGTGTCCAGTGTGAACAGGCCGGGCACCGGGTCCCGGGGGAACGTGGAGAGGGGAGCACCTGTGGTAGCCTCGGTACAGACAGCGTACCGCTCGCGACCAGGGAACGTAGTGGTGACGCCAAGGTCCTGGAGGCAGCCGATACCAACTAGGTTCCTGGTGAACGAGGGGATGTGCAGGCCTGTAAGAGAGCCCGAAGGAGCTGCCGGACAGGGAAGGGTGGTGGAACTACGGGCGACTACCGGACCAGAGGAGGGGTCTGCTAGGGAAACCGCGACAGGAGCAGTAAGTGGCGTCAGCGTAGTGGAGTCGCGGAAGAAGCACCGAGAAGCGCCAGAGTCCAGGGTGAAGGAGAGCGCAGCAGTGGTGGCCGGAGTCGGAGCAGCGAGGGAAGAACCAAGGCTAAACAAGGCAGGGGATCCTACGCCTGACGCAGCAGGGAAGGCAAGACTAGACACACCTACACTAGGCAACAAGGGGTAGTAAGAACCAGTCACACTAGAGTCATCGGCATACAGCACATACAAGGCAGAGCTAAGCTCATCCATGTCCATGTCAAAAATCGGAACACTACGGCGAAGCAAGCTGTACCAGTTGGGGAGGTCGGGTGCCGGCCGAAGCAAAGACGAAACAGGTCATCCAGGAGACGGAAACAGCGGACAGGGGTGTGACTGATCTTACCGCAAATGGAGTCGCGGCGAGGATCGGTCTGGAGCTGGTTCTGACAGGGCCCGTCACCCGAACTGCCAATTGGAGGGACACCACGCGGGCGACCACCGCGTCCACCGCCACCACCAGCGCCAGGCCACCCTGGCGGAAGACCACCCGCCCGCCTCTGCTGCTGCTGCTGCTGCTGCAACTGCTGCGGCTGGTGCTCCTGCTGCGGCTGGTGCGATGGCTGCTGCTGCGGCTGGTGCTGGACCGGCTGCGACGCCTGCAGCTGCTGGGACGGCTGCTCGGCTGCACAAGGCACGGTCCCCTCGTCCGCGCTACCACCGGGCGACCCGAATCCACCACCACCTCCACCTGAGCCACCACCCCCACAGCCACGCCCAGCCTTGGGGCGGTGACCCTTCCCCGGACGGAACTGCACTGCGGCTGCGGACTCGGCCACAGCAGCAGAACCGTCTGAGAAGGTGCACTGAGCGGGGGCACAACCCTGAAAGATAGGGACCGGCACAGTACCCCTGGTCTGGGCGATAGAGCGCTGGCGTGTCTCTATGGGAGACAGGGTGTTGACAAAGTCAGTGAGGGTGAGGTCACCGGGGTGGATGCTAAGAAAGCGATCGCGAGCAGTAGAAAGACGGCCAAGGAGGCAGGTGGCAAGCAGGTAGAGGGTAGAGCACAGGGGCGGCTGAAAGGCTCTAAGCTGGTTCTCAGTGCAGGCAGAGCGCCAGATCGCGTCTAACGTGCGCAGGTGAGCGGGAAGGTCAGCGACAGTGAGGAAAGACGCAAGGTCAGGAAAGAGCATGGGCAGGATCAGGCGACCTACAGAGGCAGCGGGCGAGGTGGAATAGCGCTTGACAAGAGCATCTAGGAACTCTTGCGCAGTTGTAACCGACCGAAAGTGAGGGTGCTCAGACAGGGGGAGGGCATGATTGATCGCAAGCTGCGCTACGGCGTCACGTGACAACCAGGCTGAGCGGGCAAGGGCGAGAGCTGCAGCGGACTCACGGTCAGTGGACGAGGGGTCAGTGGGCAGGGCAGCAGGGGGGTCAGGACAGGGACCGCCAGGGAGTGGCCATCCTGCCGCTGATCAGTGAGATGACGGCGGAGGTCGACCAACCACGTGTCAAACTCGAGCGGCTGACCCTCTGCGTCGAAGCGGAGCACAGAGTCCGCCATCAGGAGCGATGCAGCAGCGGGCAGTGCAGTGCGGATCGGTGCAGTATGGTGCAGTGCGGTACAGGGCGGTGCTGTGCGGTGCAGCGCGGTACAGCTGTAGTGTGGTGCTGCGCGGTGCAGCTGCAGCGGCAGCCCGTCCAGCCAATCAGGTCGCTCCGTTGCTGCGCTGCTGGCGGACACAGTGGCTGGGATGCACGCTGAGAGGGAGGAGAGGGGCGGAGAAAAATAGGAGGAGCAAGAGGAGGAGCAAGAGGAGGAGCAAGAGGAGGAAACTTGTCCTATGCATCCGTTATATCCGGATCCCTCGAGAGAGATACCCGGATTTGCCGTTTGGACGAAAATGCTAAGGAAAGCCCGGTCGTGTTCCGCATACACTGACAAAAAGTATTTGGTTTGTTTGTGGAATGGGTTGGGAAGAGATCAGAGAGAAAATCGAAGGAAGACGGTCACGCCACGTCACGTCGCTTGGTGACGCAGTGGCTTTTGTGTGGGGTGGGGTACCCTTGTTGCCCGAGTCAGTCACCCCATGTTTTTGGGCGGCTGGGACTGAAAGCGTCTCCGACAATTCGCGCACCTCGCCACGGGAAGAATGGGATTGTAAGTGTGTTGGAATGTTACCACTTTGGCATACGCGGATTGCGACGGGGGGCTGAATTTGTACATTTGAAAATACCCGGGGGCTGAATTTGTACTTTATGAATTTGTAGTTTCCGAAATACCCTACGGACGAAATATGACATGCTGTCATGGCTGGCAAGTTCCACTGTTGCCGTTGTCTTCTCTGGAAACAGTGCGGGCCATGTTCTGGAAACAGTGGTGGCAGTTTGTGGCGTGTTGTGGATGGTTGTGGTTGGTTGTGGCGGGTTGTAGCTGGTTGTGGCGGGTTGTGGCGGGTTGTGGCGCGTTGTGGCTGGTTGTGGCGGGTTGTGGCGGGTTGTTGCAGGTTGTGGCGGGTTGTGGCAGGTTGTGGCGGGTTGTGGCAGGTTGTGGCGCGTTGTGGCGCTTTGTGGCGCGTTGTGACGCATTGTTGCTGGTTGTGGCGGGTTGTGGCTGGTTGTGGCGGGGTGTGGCAGGTTGTCGCAGGTTGTCGCAGGTTGTGGCCGGTTGTGGCAGGTTGTGGCGGGTTGTGGCGGGTTGTGGCGCGTTGTGGCACGTTGTGCGGGTTGTGGCAGGTTGTTGCGGGTTGTGGCAGGTTAGGGTTGTGGTAGGTTTGGTTGTGGCAGGTTAGGTTGTGGCAGGTTAGGATGTGGCAGGTTAGGTTGTGGAAGGTTAGGTTGTGGCAGGTTACGTTGTGGCAGGTTAGGTTGTGGCAGGTTGTGGTAGGTTGTGGCTGGTTGTGGCGGATTATGACAGGTGGTGGCAGGTTGTGGCAGGTTATGGCTGGTTGTGGCTGGTTGTAGCGGGTTGTGGCTGGCTGTGGACGGGTTGTGGCGGGTTGTGGCGGGATGGTTGGGGTTGTGGCGGGTTGTGGCAGGTTGTGGCGGGTTGTGGCGGGTTGTGGCTTGTTGTGGCGGGTTGTGGCGGGTTGTGGCGGGTTGTGGCGGGTTGTGGCGGGTTGTGGCGGGTTGTGGCGGGTTGTGGCGGGTTGTGGCGGGTTGTGGCAGGTTGTGGCAGGTTGTGGCGGGTTGTTGCAGGTTGTGGGGGGTTGTGGCTGGTTGTGGGGGGTTGTGGCACGTTGTGACGCGTTGTGGCTGGTTGTGGCGGGTTGTGGCAGGTTGTGGCGGGGTGTGGCAGGTTATGGCAGGTTGTGGCCGATTGTGGCAGGTTGTGGCGGGTTGTGGCGCGTTGTGGCGCGTTGTGGCGCGTTGTGGCGGGTTGTTGCGGGTTGTGGCAGGTTGTGGCTGGTTGTGGCAGGTTGTGGCAGTTTTGTGGCGCGTTGTGGCGCATTGTGGAGCGTTGTGACGCGTTGTGGCGCATTGTGGAGCGTTGTGACGCATTGTGGCTGGTTGTGGCTGGTTGTGGCGGGTTGTGGCTAGTTGTGGCAAGTTGTGACAGGTTGTGGCAGGTTGTGGCTGGTTGTGGCAGGTTGTGGCCGGTCTTGGCAGGTTGTGGCAGGTTGTGGCGGGTTGCGGCGGGTTGTGGCGGGTTGCGGCGGGTTGTGGCGGGTTGTGGCCGGCAAGAGGAGCAAGCTGTCTTCAACAGCTCCTTCAACTATCGTCTTGCCTTTTCCCCATGGATTACCACTGTCCCCCATTTCCCTCCCCCCACCATGCCTCCCATTGGTCCAGGTGGATTACATTGATGCTGACGTGGCGTACCGTGGCTGGGCCACGGCGGCAGCAGCAGCAGCGGAGCGGAGGGAGGAGCGGGGGAGGAGGGAGGAGCGGGAGAGGAGGGAGGAGGGGCAGCAGGGAGAGGGGGAGGTGGGAGGTGCAGGGCAGGGGGAGCGGGAAGGAGAGAGGGAGGAGAAGGAGCGGGGCGACCTGCTGGCTCTGGCAAGTCGGGCTATCTCCATCGGCATGCAGCTGTTGCACAGTATGTCTCACCACTCTCTCGCTTGTGGTTTGACCGACACACGTTCGCGCTGTGTCTTGAGTCCTGGTAAGCTCCCCCTTAGGGGAGAGGGGGAAGGAGCGGGGCGACCTACTGGCTCTGGCATGTCGGGCTTTCTCCATCGTCATGCAGCTGCTGCACAGTATGTCTCCGAACCCAGCAACATGTACAGCGTATGTCTCTATCACCTCTTTTCACCTCTCTCTAGCTGGTCTGGCCATCGCCATCTCCATCGCCGTGCAGCGCAGTTGCTGCACAGTAATGTGATTTGGCTGCTGCACATCAATGTGACATGGCTGCTGCACAGCAATGTGATATGGCTGCTGCACAGTAATGTGATATGGCTGCTGCACAGCAATGTGATATGGCCGCTACACAGCAATGTGATATGGTTGTTGCACAGCAATGTAATATGGCTGCTGCACAGCAACGTGATGTGGCTGCTACACAGCAATGTGATGTGGCTGCTGCACAGCAATGTGATATGGCTGCTACACAGCAATGTGATATGTCTGCTGCACAATACGTCCTCTTTTGATCCCTGCTCTTCCACGCTCCACTCTCTCCGCCATTTTCCTCCATGCTGGCGTGTGTGGCCGTGCTGGCCCCCTCTTGTGCTCTGGTGCGTGGCCACGCCTCTCTGTGTGCCTCCGCCATGCAATCGGCCCTCATGGTACCTTGTGTCCTGTCCCTCTCTCCATCATCCCATGTCATCCCTGGTAGGAGAGGCATCATCCACCATGCGTCTGCAGGTCACTCAATCGCAGCAGCAGGCTGATCTCCTGCAGCAGCAGCAGCAGCAGCAGCAGCAGCAGCAGCAGCAGCAGCAGCAGCAGCAGCAGCAGCAGCAGCAGCAGCAGGAGCACTATCCGCACCACCAGCACCTCATGCTGGCGTGTGTGGCGGTGCTGGCCCCCTCGGGTGCTCTGGTGCCTGGAGACGGCTCTCTGTGTGCTGCCATGCACTTGGCTCTCATGGCATGTGTGGACGGGCAAGAGGCAGAGGCGCGGCAAGTCAGGGTGAGTGCGGTGCCCTGGGAGCTAGTGCTGGGAAGCAGTGTGCGGTGCCCTGGGAGCTAGTGCTGGGAAGCTGTATGCGGTGCCCTTGGAGCTAGTGCTGGGAAGCAATGTGCTGTGCTGCTCTATGCTCTTTGCTCTGTGCTCTGTGCGCTGGCGCCTGGTGACGCCTCTCTGTGTTCCTTCATGAGCGCTCAGCCCTCATGGGATGTGTGGGGGATGCATTTTGAGTCGACTCAAAACACACATGAGCGCTCAGCCCTCACGAGATGTGTGGGGGAGCTAGAGGCAGGCGCGGCAAGTCAGGGCGAGTTGTGTGCATGTTATAGTGAGCCGTGCTGCAACATGTCGTTGGCCTTACCACAAGAAAATTGGCACCTCTCGTTACATGTCTTAGGCTATGAGGATGATACCGCATTGAGGATGTTACCACATTGATGTACAATATGTCCCGACCCCCCACACTATCTCTCAACCCTCCCTTTCCTCCTCCCTCTTCTCCTCCTCCGCCTCCTCTGTTTCCCCCCGCCCTTTCCTCCTCCGCCTCTCCCTTGTCCCTTCCACAGATTGATGTTGCAGTGCACCCTTCTGACTCTCCCCCAGTCATTTCCTTCTCACTCTTCATCTTTCTCCACCTCTCCCCCCTGTCGCTTCTCCCTTCCACAAATTGACGTGGCGGTGCACCCCTCTGACTCGCGCCTTCTCACTCTCGCCCTTCGCTGCATGGGGAGCGGAGGGGAGGGGGAGGCGAGTGAGGGAGTGAGTGTGGACGTAAAAAGCCCTGCTGTCCGGATCATGGCCTGTGTTGTCAAAGGTGAGAACTGTTTCCAGTTCACAGAAATACCAGCAGTAGTAAGGGGGGAGTGAGGAAGTGGGTGTGGGTGTGGAGTGCCCTTCTGTTTTGATCATTGCTCTTGCTTGTGCTGTCAAAGGTTAGCCGCTCTCTCCTCCCCCAAGCCCTCCCACATATTCCCACCCCTCCCCTCTCATTCACACCTCTCGCCCCCCTTCCCCCTTGGTTCTCTCTCCCTCTATCAGCGGAGCTTCCTCACATGGACCCGGCAGCTCGCATGCACGTGCATGCCTTCACACAAATCTGCCCCCCCCTTATTCCCGTCTTCCGTTTTCCTCTCCCAACCAGCGGAGCTACCTCACGTGGACCCAGCAGCTCGCATGCACATGGTGCGCTGTGCAGCTTTCATGCAATCACTCACTCATTTCCCTCTCTCCTCCCTCCCCTCCCCGCTCCCCATCCCTTGCTCACTCTCTCCCTCTACCAGAGAAGCTACCTCACATGGACCCTGCAGCTCGCATGCGCATGGTGCACTGTGCTGCCTTCACCATCCGCCCCACCCACTCACTCTTCTCTCTTCCTCCACCACAACCCTTGTCCCCCATGCTCCCTCCCCCCCCTCTGTCTCTCTACCAGCGGAGCTACCTCACATGGACCCTGCAGCTCGCATGCACGTGGTGCGCTGTGCTGCCTTTACCATCCCTCCCACCCACCGGCCAAGCCTCTCCCGAACCACCATGGACAGCTTTGGCACCGCAGCAGCTGCAGAGGCTAGGGGTGCCGAGCATGCGCCGTGGCTCATGCGCCGGTTGTGCCGTGTGTGCTGCCTTCCCACCCTTGCCCTGCGATGCCAAGAGGTGGGTCTATATGTATGTGGTTGTATGCAGGAGGGGAGGGGGGGGGGGGTGTGCGCGTGTGGTGGGTGGTTTTTTTTGTGTGCATGTGCTGCCTTCCCACGCTTGCCATGCGATGCCAGGAGGTGGGTCTACTGGTCTGCGTGTGAATGTGTTTCCACGTCTAGGCATATAGGTTGCTGTATCTGTGCGATGCTAGCGCATGTTTGCATGCATCTGGCCCTCCCAAACCAGCCAAAGCAACCTAAGACCTTCTACACCCACCTTTCTTTATTGTCACCTCCACTTCAAGCAGGTGCGGGTGTTCATGGCGCAGCAGCTGGAGCCATCGGTGCATGTGGATCCGGCAGCAGCGGGGGAGGTGATGGAAGCAACAGATGTGGCGGCACTGGTGGCCCAAGGCACACTGCACCAACTTTTCACACCACAGCAGCTCCAGGTGGGCCGGTCACTTCTATATGCCTTCTTTGTCACTGTCTCTAGAGGCTCCCTTCACATCAATTGCTTTCTAGCGTTTGCCCTATATTTGCCCTGCTTGTGATCCCTTGCTCTTTGCCAGAAATTGCTACTTATGGAAAGGGAGGTGGTCCTCAGCTCCATCAACCAAGGGTAATTCTTGGTAGTGCAAAGTTCTCTAATAGTACCAGCTGTTTTCTTTTACAATACAGAGCTATACGATGTATTAATTTCGTTGTAGTAGTTGGAATGTGTTACGCTGATGTTCACCTGACCCAGCGAAAGCGCTCCGGAGATTTTGCGTTTTTACCATTGGCTGCCGTAGATCACGGCAGGCGTCTCCAGGCCCTCAATGCGACAGAGCCTGCCATCTCCACGCGCCGCTAAGCGCTCGCATTGGCTAATCGTTTCTTTCCGAACAGGACGACGCAAGGCCTGGAGACGCATGCGACGGGTTCAGTCGAAGTGACAGGAAGAACCTGTTGACTGCCCTAAGCGCAGTCAGTTGATCCCACCCGCCGAATCGCACTCCTCCACATTACGCGACACGGCGCAGGCAGATGCTACCTCTCTCTGCTCTGTGCACACACAGCAGTGCCCAAGCTTGCTCAAAATTTGAAACAGAATTCACGAGGCAGCATGCATCCACCCAAACCAAGACTCGTACTTCAGAGACTAGCGGGGACCTGCTTGTGCCAGTTGCCAAGCCGCCAACTTCACTGGCTGCATGCTACTCGGCTCTGAAAGGACAGGGCATTGCTGCTCGGCTGCTTCGTCGGCGTCATTTCATGGAAACTTACGCCGGATGCTTTTATGCTCTCTCAGCGAAACCTCGCAAATAACTTCACATAAAACTCAGGCAGTCGCATGGGATAGTAACCTCGGTTGATCCTAACGACTCGTTAGCCAGGGGTGTTTTATTCGTCTTTAGTTCGACAACCACCAAATAGTACGACAACCACCAGTTATTACACCGGCTACCACGCTTTCTTACGGTGCGCAACTAGTTATTCGTACGACAGCTACTAGACTAGACAGCAGTCATGGCAGGGCCCGCATCATCCCTCCCATCGGCACGACTTCTAGTCGGTCAACGTGCGATTCGTCTCCTTTGCCTTGCGGCGCTTCCACTGCTCTCTCTTGGTAAGCACCGATGTGCATTAGTCGTAAAGCTTTTCGTAATCGAAGGGCCCTTCGGCGAGACACGCGCTAGCCCTTCCGCAGCCAGGCGGTTTTGCAGTTTGGTCACTCTTCCGCCTGCTTTCTGACCAAAAGCGTCTCGATTCGCACCCTCTCGCCACCCTCTCACCACCCTCACGCTACCCTTTCCCCCGCCCATTGCCAAGCATTCCACACCCGCTTTCCACTACTCAATGCACCTTTTGTCGCGCCATCACTCCCCCATTCTCCCTCGCCTGTCCTCATTCCCGCCCCCTCCCCTCCTCCTCCTCTCCTCCCCTCGTCTTACAGCGGAGAGCGCTTCATCGTCCGAATTCCTGCCCCCGCTCCCCTCCTGGCCGTCTGAGTACGCGGGGGTTGCACCGCTTCCCCCCGACGACTCCGCCGCCACCTTCCACGTGGCGGACTACGGCGCGCAGCCCGACGGACGCGTGGACAGCTGGAGCGCCTTCCGCCACGCTTTCGGCGCAGCGTGCAAGTACGCGGAGGCAAAGGGTGTGCGCGTCCGCGTGCTTGTCGCTCCGCCTTCCGCGGACACATATTCCGCCGGAAGCAGTTCCCCCGACAAATCTTCCGCCGACGGCGCTGCGACGGATTCAAGCAGAATCGCCAGTACGAGAGGCGGTAGCGAGAGCACTCAGACAAACAAGCTTGATTCGCCATCGGCCAACGACTCGTCGCCAACGAATAACGATCCCAACAATAGCGCGGACCACATCCCCGATTTGCCAATAGCGAATGTGACCATGCCGGATGTCAACGTTAACGTTGACGTCAGCAATGGGATCGTTAATCTGGACGGGCCGCAAGATCTCAGCGGAGGCGGCAGCAGCGCAGGGGGGAACAGCGGAGGGGGGAACAGTGGAGGGGGAAGCGGAAACGGGGGAAGCGGAGGCGGCGGAAGCAGCGGAAGCGGCGGAAACGTGGTGAGCGATAACCTGCAGTGGCTGCTCAACCACCGCGGATTAGCGAAAGCAAACCGCGGGCTGGCGGAAAGAGAGCTGGCGGAGCGGAACCGCAGATTAGCGGGGAAAACTTTGGCGGAGCGGAGGCGCAGATTGGCGGAGCGGAGCCGAGAGGGGGACAGCAGCTCCGCCGAGTATTATCTGGGCCGTTCGATAACAGTCAACGGATCGTGCGGCGCTGGTTTGACGCTGCAAATCGACGACGCTACGATCTACGGTCCCAAGAGCGCGGAGGGTTATCCCGAACCGTCTCTGTACATTAACGGGGATAAAATCGGCGTGGCGAGTAACGGAATGTTCCGATTCGTGGGGGTGAAGGGGCTGACCATACGCGGTAGTGGCAGCCTCGATGGGAACGGCGAGGGGTACTGGCACACGGAGGCGCACGACCGACCGCACCTGCTGTCACTGATCGAGTGCCAAGACGTCATACTCGACCAGATCGCTCTGCGGTAAGTAGACGAGAGTTGTTGCCACAGCGTCTTACGAATAGCATGTCGCTGCCACACGGAGGCGCACGACCGACCACACTTGCTGTCGCTGATCAGCTGCGAGAACGTCATTCTCGACCGGGTTACTCTGCGGTAAGCTGGCACTTACATCCTTTCCTGTGATACCAGTCCGCTGATCGAGTGCCAAGACGTTGTTCTGGACGGAATTGCCTTGCGGTGAGTTGACGTTCTTACCCGTGGTAGTTTACGCTGTTCTTACCTGTGGTACCAGTCCTTCCCCCCGGGTGTTCGGTTCTCCCTTCGTATCCACACGGAGGCGCACAGCCGCCCGCTCCTGCTGTCGCTGATTGGCTGCCATGACGTCATTCTGGACGGAGTGGCTCTGCGGTGAGTGAAAGAGTTCCAGTGAGGGCCTCCACCGCACCAGTGGGACTCGGCGCGCATTGCTCCTCCGGCCATCGCCCCCCTCCCCCCCCCCCCCCCTCTTCCCCCCCATCTCTTCCCTGCCCCCGTTGATCATGCAACGTGTCTCATGCTATGGGCATGAGCTCCGCGCGAAAGAAGTAGGCAGCGTTTGCGTGCGGATTTTTCGTCCGTGTCCTCTCATCCACTTCCAATTCGCTCCTCACCCTCCCCCCGACCCCCAGCGACCCACCCATGTATCACGTCTTCTCCTCCCCCTCCCCGTTGTCTTCTCGTATGGCATAGCCGGGCTGAGAGTGCGGATCTACCGTCTCGTCCACTCACAATTTCCTTCCCTCCCACCACGCCCTTCGGTCCCTTCCTCTCGTCCCCCCAACCCCCAGCGACCCCACCATCTACCACGTCTTCTCGTATGGCATAGACAGGCTGTGGGTGCGGATCTCCCTCCTCGTCCACTGACTATTTCCCCTTCCCTCCCACCACTCCCCTCTCCCTCCCCCCTTCCCCCAACCCCCAGCAACCCCCCCATGTACCACGTCTTCTCCTACGGCATAGACGGGCTGTGGGTGCGGAGATTAACTACCAATGCGCCTGACGAGTCGCCCAACACGGACAGTCTTAAGCTGCTGGGCGTGCGGCACGCGCTGATTGAGAACTGCACATTCCACGGTGGCGACGATGACGTGTCACTCGTGGCACGTGGCAGCCAGGCAGTGGCGAACGTGACGGTCCGGAACCTGATCGCCACGTCAGGGCACGGGATCAGCATCGGGAGTCTGGGAGCGGGCGGCGCGGTGGCGTGCGTGTCGGATATAAGCTTCAAAGATTTGATTCTGTCAGATCTGTCGAACGGGTTGAGGATCAAGACGTGGCAGGGCGGGTTGGGAATGGTGCGGAATGTACAGTACGAGAACGTGTACATGACAAACATAGAGAGGGCTATAACGCTTGACCAGGTGAGGGAATAGGGGACTTGCACTGGCCGGATTTTGACGCTCCTTCCTCCCGAGCATGCCTCCTCCTCCTCCTTTTCTCCTCTCCAGCCCTTTTGCGCCCTCTGATTTCTCAGCCTCAACCTCTCCTCACTTTCCCTTAACTTTCCCTCATCACCCCTCAACCCCCCCTCATATCTTTCCTGCCTCCCCTCTTCCCCCCTCCCCCCCTCCCTGCAGTTCTACTGTGACGACAACCAGGACTTCTCCTGCGAGCAGTCGCCCACCAACATCGCCCTGGTCAACATCTCTTACACCGACGTCTACGGCACCGCCTCCAAGTGAGTGCTTGCATTCTCCCACCCCTCCACTGATGTGGCCCTGGTCAGCATCTCATGTACTGACGCCTATGACACCACTTCCAAATAAGCCACCAATGCCTCAGTCGCTCCTGCTCCCATTTTCTTCGTAGGGCTCCCATCTTTGCCATTAGGGCTGGCCAAACTTTCTTCTTTGGGATAGGTGGCACTCTCCTGATCCCTGTATGGCCTTCATCTCTCTGTGTTCTCTGTACGACCTTCACCTGACTGGTGCTTTGTTCTCTGTACGGCCTTCACCTGGCAGGTATGCGATGGACATGCAGTGCAGCGATACTGTGCCGTGCACCGGCATCTCCCTCGCCAACGTCAAGCTGGGCGGAACTAGCTCGAAAACCAAAGACCCTGTGTTTAAGAACATCTTGTCAAGCCGTGCGGTTGGGGATGTGGCTCCGCTGCCTGAGGGCTTGACCTCTTATGATGAGTGGGGTGTGGGCGCACCTACCGTGGAGCAAGTAGCACAGATAAAAGAGATGATAGCTAAGTGTGCTTGATTATGACAAAATTATGTAGCTTGTAGCCACACTGTACTATAATAGTAAGGCATTTTCCACCTCATGCATCAATCAGGAAAAAAATGGAGTATCGGATGCATAACACGAAATGCAAACTTGTGCACTCATGAGGGGTATGCACGCATAGATAATGCACTTGCCAAGTTCATATTCATGCTTGTGCGTGCGAATATCTCAAAGAGATCCCGCTTTTACCGAATTTATTTGCACCAAATTGCAAGGCCGAACACGAAGCCCAAAAGCTCGTCACCAAAACCCCTCCCAACCAAATCCATTTTCTTCCCCCACCCACCAGTAATTTCCCCCCAGCTCTCTTCTCGCCTTCCCTTTATTTCCGCGCATCCCCCATCCCCCCCGCACTTCTCCCCCTGCTCCCCCCCCCTTACCCCGGCTCCCCGTCCCCTCCTACACATACCTTCTGCGGCTTTTTCTAAGATCCTTTCAGACCTCTTTCTTCCTCTCGGGTCTCCGCAACTCCCGCACGCGCAACTGGCGCTGCTGCAGCATTTTAAGTACCAGTCGTAGCTTTTCCCTTCCCCAGACCCAACGAGAATTTAAGAGCCGCAACCATGGCGGAAGCTAAGGCGTGCACCGTGCGGACGCGCAAGTTCATGACGAACCGCCTTCTGCAGCGGAAGCAGTTTGTGAGCACTCTTCCTGGCCCTTGATAGTTGGAGCAGTTTGTGTACACTCTCCCGGGATTTACGCGTTAATCGTTAAGATTGCCTCTGCGGCGTAATCTTGGTAGCTGGCTTGCACCAGCCATGGGGCGATTAGGCGGCGCGTAGCGGGGGCGAGTGCAGCATTTATGAGCCTTAGCACCAACCTATCTATGAGCCTTAGTACCAATCTATTTATGAGCCGCTGTTCTTACCCGATCGCAGCCATAAACGAGGCTTATTGCGGCCTGCGAGTAGTTGTTGAAAACTGGCTCGAAACTAGATTCTGCGTTTATGAGCGCACGTGCTTCGATGGCGAAGCGCGGGCGAGCGAACGCGGGGATCTTGAAGCCCTGGTGTTCAGCCGTTCTCCTCCCGGGATCATGTAGTTCTGAGTCTGCTTTTGAGCCGACTTAAAAGCGTTCTTCTCCCGGGATCATGTAGTTCCGAGTCTGCTTTCGAGTCCACTCAAAAGCGTTCTTCTCCCGGATAATATAGTTCTGAGTCGCCTCTTAGCGGTCCAGCGTTTCGGGAATTGTCGCGGCATCTGACGAAGCAGTTACCTGGTTGCTCAACGTCACATTCGTGGGTTCGCTTCATCAATAGACCAGGAGCGGTAGCAGTTCTTTTGTCTTCGGGAGACGGCAGTGACTTGCTGGCGTTGGCCGTTGAAGAATGATGAAGATCCAACTCGTTACGCGTAGTGCGCTGTACGCGTTAGAGGCTGGAGGCGGCGTTTCGATCTTAGTACCGCCTTTTAGATTGGGGAACTACGCGGCGGGTGGCTTGGCGAGGCAGTGTTTAGAGCTCCCCATGGAGCATGCCGTGCCGTGTTAGGTCACGGAGTCCCAGATCGCCGCCGGAACGCGTCATAGTGTGCATCGGGGTATGGAGCGGTGAGGAGAGGATGGTAGTTGGGGCGACGAGGCAGTTTATCTCCGCCGCATTTGCGTTAGTTTTTTAAGAAAAACCTGAGAAGGCGGTAGCTCCGCCGCGATTTTTTGACCTAAATCGATCATTTAGGGTTTCGTCTCAGTTGAGTTTACTTCCCCATCGACACTGTCGTCGGCTTCGCGTTGATTCTCTCGGTCGTTGTGACCACCGCCTCTACGCCCATCCCACCTCTCTCAGCATTTTCCCCCCTTCTCCCCCCCCCTCCCCCTCCATCCCCCCCTCCTCCTACCCACCCTATCCTTTCCCCCCTTCGCTCCCCTCTTCTTCTCCCCTTCCGTTCTCTTCCCCTGCTAACCATTCCGCCTCTCCGCCTCCGCTCCCCCGTTTGTCTAGGCCTTCCCCTCCCCATTCCTTCCCCCCCCGTCTTCTTCCTGTATTCGGCAACCAACCTTCTCACGCCGCTGTCCCTCCCCTCCCGGCCCCCCTTGCTCGTGCCACGTGGCAGATCATCGACGTGCTTCACCCTGGAAAGGCCAACGTGTCAAAGGTACGAGTGCATCCCGTTCCTTGCCTTTCCTGCGTCTCTCCCTCTGCTCACTTTTAAGTCGACTCAGAAGTCACTGCGTCTCTCCCACCGCTCGCACTTCCCTGTTTCCCGCTGCGAGCCCCACTCTAACCTGCTGCTCGCAGCACGTCCCTTGACGCAGCCGTGGTGCCCTACTTCCAGCTCTGCCCCCTTTCGTATTCTTTTGAGTCGACTCAAAAGTCACTTCCAGCTCTGCCCCCTTTCCAGGCGTGAGGAGTCTATTTTTGAGGCGCCTCAAAAAAAGCTATACCCCCTTTCGTATTCGCGCACAGTGCCACTTCTCTTCCTCCCACCCGTCCCCTAACCCATCCCTTCTTCTTGCCTCCCTCCACCATTTTCATTTTCCTTATCATCTTTTTTCTTGCCGTTCACTCCCGCTCGCGCCACTTTCTCTCTCTCCTTTCCTCTCCTCACTTTCTCTCCATCCCCCTTCCTGCCCCCCTCCCCTCCCCCCCCCCCCCCCCCCCCCCCCCCGCCCTTTTCCCGCCGCCAGTCGGAGCTGAAGGAGAAGCTGGGCGCCATCTACGAGAGCTCGACCTCTCGTGCATCATCGTGTCTCGGTTCCCTTTCCCATCCCTTTCGCCCCCTTGCCTCCCTTCCCCCCCACGCTCTTCCGCCCTCTCTCACCGCCAGTCGGAGCTGAAGGAGAAGCTGGGCGCCATCTACGAGAAGAGCGACCTCTCGTGCATCTTCGTGTTCGGCTTCCGCACGCAGTTCGGTGGTGGCAAGTCCACGGGCTTCGGCCTCATCTACGACAACCTCGAGGCCGCCAAGAAGTTCGAGCCCAAGTACCGCCTCATCAGGGTATGTGGACGAGAGGTCGCGGGTTCGAATCCTGTAGGAGGGTATGTATGGTATTGGGAAGGGGTATGGCAAGTTCACTGGCTTCGGGCCCATCTACGACAATCTCGAGGCCGTTAAGAATTTTGAGCCCAGTTACCGCCATATCAAAGTATGTCGACGAGCAGTCCCTGTATGGTTAACTTCTGAAGGGAGAAGGGGGGAGGGAGAGGGAGTTGGGGAAGGGGATGGGGGGAAGACAGTTCACAGGCTTTGGCGTCGTGGCCGCCCAGAATCTGGAGCCCTGTGGCAAGTCTGTGCGTGTAGGCAGAGTGTGAGTGCAACATGTTGATGCGCATCCAAGCTTCTCCTCTATTCCAAGTGATGGCCTTGTGTCCAATTCCTCTCCTCTCTTCCTTACCATTTTCCCGGGGCCTTTTGAAGACCACCCTGCCTTTCGCCACTGGGATTGCCGTTTGCCCTCGTGACCCTCGTCCTGCGGCTATTGCTTGAGTGCTGTGCATGCAGGGTTGGGTTGGCGTCGAATGGGCCATTCATGCTAGAGCACTTGGGGACTTTGTTTAGCTGAAGTATCCCGGCTCTTGTGTTCACAGCACGCCAATCTCCCTCCCGTCGCCAGCATTCCTCCTGCTCCACGCTTCGGCCAAGGCCTGGCCGTTTTTAGAGATGTTTTTTTGCCCTCATGCCCTTTTCTGACCTCTCACACTTGTGTTCCCCCCTCATTTCCGCACCCGCCACGCCGCTGAGTGGTGCAGAACGGTTTGGAGGAGAAGAGGAACAAGGAGAGCCGCAAGCTGATGAAGGAGCGGAGGACAAGAGCCAAGAAGGTCCGCGGCGTCAAGAAGGTGTGTGCAGCAGCAGATCGAATTTTCTGTTTTCCGCCCTGCTTTCCGATCTTCCACCCCGCTTTCTGCTCCGCTGTGGATATTTGTAGTGACATTGACTGCTGGTTGCATGAGATTTCTTGCCCTTCTGCTCGGTCTTTGAACTCGCAACCTTTGGAGAAGCATCTCCTTGCAAGTTCGCCACACTTCAGTGTGCCTTGATTGTATACCAATCCCTGTGTGCCTTGCATTTTCTGCATTGGCGTTGCTTTCTGCCTCACAGACCAAGGCTGCAGCTGCTGAGAAAAAGAAGTAAGCTTGCTGATACATGGCCAGCAGGAGAGACACTTAGAGCGCATAGGCCTTGTTTGCCAAGGAAATGTCGCAGGGTAGTGGTGCTGGGGCATTTGCGGGCCAAAGCTAGCTAAATGGCTGAAGCAAAGCATCCTTCTCTTGTTCTCTCATCTCATCATCACCATTGTATCTCTGTAATCCTGTGGTAACGGCCTTTTCAGTGTCACTTTCTTTTGGACCTGCTGTTGCTGTCGTTAGGCTGTTTCTAGTTAGTAAATGCTAAGTGGAATTGATCGCACTTGGCAATGAGCATAGCCGTTCCATTCAGAATGTAATTGTCTTTTTTGCCGAGTATCCACTGTCTTTGTAAGGATTTTTCACTCCTTACCGAGCTGTAATGCTTATCGCGTACACTTGCACACGCGTGAACCCTCGGCTCGGTTACGGACCTTTCGATCCGAACCTTCGACACCACACCAGACCTTCGGACCGAACCATCGGGAGTTCTCTAAACCTCTCGACGATCTTTCTGAGCCCTTCGATCATTTCCTGAACCTTCTCATCTCGCGGCTAATATAGCTCAGGTGTTCCAAAATATTCCGTCGGCACTCATTGTATCGTCATTCAGTTATTCACTACTTCGCTATTTCATTCCGCGCTACTCTGCAAGTTCACCCATAACAGTCCTGTCCTCTACAGAGGTTAGTGTGCGCTGTATCGGGGTGCTTTGTAAAGTGATGCATATGGGTGTGACTGAGGTGGAAGAATGAGAGCACGAAGCGACGTGGAAGCCCCGTGTTTTATGGCTGATTTAAGAGTAGTTTGCCGGAACTCGACAAAATAGCGGGTGCATTTTCGACAGGAAGCGGATTGCGACGTGTTCGATTTTCATGAATCTTGATTCTGACGGGTAAATTTTGATCAGAACAAGGATACTGGACTACAACTTCTCACACCCAGTCACCAAACCCCCCTCTGCAAGCCCCTTTCCCCAAGGAAAATCAGCCCTAGCGAGGAAGTTCCAGATGTGGAATTATAAGAGCTGAGTGGAGTACTCTTACATGGTTCCCGTTACAGAATCCAGAAACATTGCGTAAGAGCGTTAGTCATCAGGAAAAAAATCCAGTGCCTAAATCCGGATCTCGAAGGGAAACTTGTCCTATACATCCGTTATATCCGGATCCCTCGAGAGAGATACCCGGATCTGCCGTTTGGACGAAAATGCGAAGGAAAGCCCGGCCGTGTTCCGCAAAAACGGACAAAAGTCTTTGGTTTGTTTGTGGAATGGGTTGGGAAGAGCTCAGTGAGAAGATCGAAGGTAGACGGTCACGCCACGTCACGTCGCTTGGTGACGCAGTGGCTTTTGTGTGGGGTGGGGTACCCTTGTTGCCCGAGTCAGTCACCCCATGTTTTTGGGCGGCTGGAACTGAAAGCGTCTCCGACAATTCGCGCACCTCGCCACGGGAAGAACGGGATTGTAAGTGTGTTGGAATATTACCACATTGGCATACGCGGATTGCGACGGGGGGCTGAATTTGTACATTTGAAAATACTCGGGGGCTGACTTTGTACTTTATGAATTTGTAGTTTCCGAAATACCCTGCGGACGAAATATGACATGCTGTCATGAATGGCAAGTTCCACTGTTGCCGTTGTCTTCTCTGGAAACAGTGTGGGCCATGTTCTAGAAACGGGGGTGCGGTTGCCCGTGCTAGAAACATAAGTGTTGCGGGAAGCTTTTGTGAGTGAACCGAGACGTGACTGGCTCGGCAACAAGGGTAGCGTTGTCGCGAACAGCGGCAGTTTTGAACTGCAAAAACAACAGCTTCCCAAAACTGCCCGAAAAGCTTCCTTACAGAACTGTTGAGGCCCTTGAGAACAACGCCTACGGAACATCCGTGTTCAGGGGGTGTCTAAAGTGGGATGTCGACAAATGTCGTGGACATCCGCCGACATCCGAGGTAATTTCAGTACGTTTGAGCTAGTTTTAGAAAAGGTTACAGAAGGTTTCTAAATCGGTGCTTCGACATCCGGGATGTCGTTGGATGTCGTAGGATGTCGCTGGGCTTTTTGGACACGCAATTAAACGGGCAATTCGGTTACTCTACAGCACTACATCGGGCAGCTGTGCTGCATGCGGCTGGGTGAACAGAAATGGATGCTCTCGCAGAGCTTGGTTTGGTACGGCGCAAGTGCACAGAAGTGTATTTCGGGTAACATCGAATTGGATAGGATAGCAGCAGCGAGCTTTCTGTCCGTGGAGCAACCGTCATTCTTCTTGTCCCCATTCCGCCTCCACTTTAGCGTGCAGGCGCAACAGTTGATGCGGATTCCGCGTTGTCCTTCAATGGATCTGTTTGGTCAAGCTGCCGCATCTTTGGAACTTCACCCACACCTTGCCTTGCGGTTCGTCCTCGCCACAAACGGGGTGCGGTTGCCCGTGCTAGAAACAGAAGTGATGCGGGAAGCTTTTGTGAGAACCGAGACGTGACTGACTCGGGCAACAAGGGTACTCCCTACTTCAACGACGGTTCACCCTCTCTCAACCGTCATCCCCTGTCTGTACTTCACGATCTGCTAACAGTCTCACTTCCTTCCAAGCCCTTACATGATTCATTAGCCACTGAGTTAGTTCTGTTCTCAGTAATTCAGCAGCATGACTGCAGTCGTTTGCCTCGAGTCGGATTCCCAGCTGTATCGTCGTCGCAAGAACATGCACAGCCTTTCCGTAGACCTCGCGCGCGTTCCTCGCTTCGATCACCGACGGTCGGCTTCATCGCATGAACTTACACCCTTCTCCTCTCTCCTCCGCGGCGAAGTTCACGCTCTTCCCCACGATGCGCCATCATCGCATGCATCCACTGCCGCGTCTCGCCGCCCCCCTGCTCTCGCGCAGCCCAAATCCCGCCGCACCTCGCTCGGCGGTTCGTCCGGTTCCTGTGCGCGCGTGTATACTGACGCATGCCACGCGCCCGTGTCCACGTCACCGACATCGTGGCAGCCGCGCTCCCCCACGGTCGTGCGCAGCCCGCACGCGGAGATCATCCGCCAGCAGGCGGAGTCCGCGCAAGCGCGCGAGGCGGAGATGGACCGCGCGTGGGAGAGCGCGGAGCGCGCATCTGAGAGCTCAGCAGGAGATTTCACCGCAGCCCAGCCGACAGAGAAGGAGCGCGGTCAGCATGCGGCCAGCTGCGACGGCGAAAATCGCCGCGGCGACGAAGAAATCTCTCCTAGAAGCTTAGCGCTGAAGCTTTGCTCTTCCAAACTCGGGTGGCGCACGTTTCTCTCCCCTGCTGCTTCGCGTCTCGCATCACAGCCGACGAATCTGAGCCGTCCGAGTCAAGGCGGCGGCGGCGCGCGAGATATGCATGGTCCGGGAACCAAGGAGGCCTCGAGGAGTTTCCGTGAAATGCTGCGGGAGATCCAACGCGGCGTCGAGTCGGGCGCGTGTAAGAACACCTTTTCCGCCATTGGCGCACCGTCTGCGTCATCGGCGCAAAGAGATGCGACAATTGACGCGACTCCGAGCCTTCATCGGTGCGCTCGCTCGCTTACCAGCATCTCCGCCCAAGATGTTTTCCCTACCGGGGGGATTTTTCCCGAGGCATCATCCGCTGTTGCTTCAAACAACGGCGCATCCGTCGGCATTGCCGACGCGGCGCGCGCGGCTAACGCAGACTGCGGAAGTATTTTGACTCGGCCGCATTTTTTCGTGGCGGATGCGTGCGAGGAGCAAGGCATCAAGCGAACGGGATTGGAAGGAGTGCGAGAGGACGACTTGACGGATGACAACGGCGATCAAGATCGACGCCAAGCGACTCCCACAGGGTTTAATGCGCGGTTTCAAGGCCCGCCGATCGGCTCGAATAAGCTTCACGCTCCGCGCGCTGGTGAAGCCGTCGGCGCTGGTCGCCGGTTGGTCAAGCAGTGGGGAAGTGCGAACTCGATTCCTTTGTCACCTGCTGCCCAATCCCAGCTGACCTACCGCTCTAAGAATTGCTCGAGCGCTAATAGCCTAAGACCGGATTGCCTTAGTCCTACGGACGCTACCATGGGCAGGGAATCCCCGCCTGCGCCCGTCCCCTGCCTTCTGCGGCGGCACACAAGCATGACCACCTCTGATGTGTGTAGTGGAGGGACTGATCAGGCTGCAAGAGGGCACAGAAGAAAGGTGTCGTTTAAGTCTACAGTGCAGGTTAGAACGTACATGTGTGTAGAAACATGAAACAGGCTGAAAGAGGGCACAGGAGGAAGGTGTCGTTTAATTCTACACTGCAGGTTAGAACGTATATGTGTGTAGACACGTGAAACATTGTGAGTTGGGATTTTATATGGCGGAGTATTGAATGGACTAGTATGTGAGATACAGGGTTGTTATGTACTCTCTATAAGTATGCACGCATCTAGCCTAAAACACAAACAAATATATATTGACACACCCCCTAGTCTAGACAAGGGGCAACTACTAGCATGAGACACGCAGCTCAGGGTGGTACTATTAGAGTCCTACGAGCCTCTTCCCAGACTCGCGAGCTACAGTGTCGCCAAATCTGACGTGAAATGTTTCACCGCGGTTCCGCAAGGTGCAACGCCAGGTTAGGCCTGCCTAGATTCAGGGTTGTGTTTCAAAACCTCTTTTCAGCTGAACATGATTTCCGGCACCCGCGAATCCGTACAGTAAATTTTCGGCGCGAAGAGTTTTTTTTTTTTTTTTTTTTTTTTTTTTTTTTGGGTTGCGTAGCAACCCTATAAAATCGGTTTCACATTTCGGAGCATTAATATGAACAGTCAATTTTAAGAATTTAGTTAACTGTTCGATGCAACTCCAAAATATGAATCCAAAATGTCCAAAGTGCTCCATCGCGTCGATAAGTACGGCGGATGGAACAATCAGACAGCGTGACACATTTCAACAAATTATTATGTATAATTAAACATTCTGTAGGATTGCAAATGACAGGAAACGAGTGCATATATGCATTAATAGTGTTGCAGTAGAGATTGATGGGGTGCACGATGACAGCGGAACTGCCCCGAACACGATGGCAATCTTTAATTGCAACAACTAGCCAATAAGCAGCACGCTCGGGCAAACGCAATCCAAACACACCTCGTGCCAGCCACCACATCTCGTCGATACATACAGTGATGGAGTGAACATGCAAGTACGATAGGATTGTGAGAGCTACGAAACGTTTGCATATACCGTATTCCCCCGGATATACGCACCGCCGGCTAATACGCACCCTGGTGCGTATATCCGGAGGGGTGCCATATCGGAGGTGCCATCTATACGCACCCGTATAATCACAGGTGTCTAATCCCTATAAGCACCCCCCCAAAATAGCTTAAATTTCATGAACATAGTTCATTAAAGACAACTTAACATTGTAATTAGATATAAGAAGTCAGATCTATATTAGTTAACTTCTACAGTTACATCATCTACCATGCTCTACAGCCCACACCTCGACTACCTAAACAGATTCACAGCCTCCAATTTCTATAAGTTTAGGGTCGTCTACCATGTCCTACAGTCGTCGCATCGTCCATGTGCACTCCATCTCAACCCTCCTCGTCGTCGTCGTCCTCCTCGTCCTCCTCGTCCTCCTCGTCCTCCTCATCATCCTCCTCCTCCTCCTCAGCTGTGGTCGAGTTGTCCCCCGTGAATCCGTCGGCCCCGGTCTCATCGTTGACATCCACGGTGGGGTCTCTCATGTGCCTCAGGCACAAGTAGTCTTCGGAGCCATCCAGGGCATTCGAGATTCCGCAAGTTTTGAATGCCTTCTGGATAAGGGCGGCAGGGACAGCCTTCCACGCCTTGGAGACCCATTTCAGGGTCTCCTCTGGTGGCGGCTTCTTCAGGTTTCCTGAAGCAAACAAAGAACACACCATTAGATATTGGTGTGAAGATGGAGCATAATCCGCACAGCAAGGGTGAACAACCTAACCTTTGGGGGTGAAGATGGTGCAGCCGACGCGGTCGAACCACTCCTGGTAGTACGCGCGAAACAGTGCCTTGAAACTGCGGTTCACGGCCACGTCGAGCGGTTGTATGACGGAGGTGCAGCCGGCAGGGATGATGCCGGGCACCACGTGGAGCTTGCCGTAGAAGTCCTTCACTTCAGGGGTGAGATGACCGCGGTATGAATCCAGGATGAGGAGAGCAGAGCGGGCACGGAGGCCGAAGTTGGGCTTGATGAACGGCTTGACCGCCTTCTCAAGCCACTCTATGACACCAGCGGAGTCCATCCATCCATTTGGTTGGGCGGCTACCACGACATCTACATTGACAAAATAGAATCCGTTAGTAAAATCTTTAAAATCAAGGAGAGGCATACACAGACAACTCAAAGTGCACGAATAAGGCTTACCGGGAGGGAAATTTCCCTTGGGTACGGTCGCCCGCTTGAAAAAGACCCACGGCTTGAGCTTCTCGCCTGTGGCCGTGCAAGCGAGCATCACTGTAACGCGCTCCTTGTGATAGCCCGCGGTCTTGATCGGCACCGAGTTCACCCCGACTTGCTCCACGGTCCGCTCTGCTGGCATCTCCAACCAGACAGGCGTCTGGTCTGCGTTGATGATCCAGCGGTCGTCAATCGAGTAGCCCCTCCTCGCATCACGACAGAACTGCCAGAAGGACTCCACTTGTTCCTTGCACTCTGCGTTCACGTGCAAGAAAAGTATGATGAAATTAGCAGAGAAACAAGTTTCAACAGTTCCACAATTAACATTTGAGGAAGCATGTACTGTACCTTCGGTCATTTTCTGGCCGACCTTCGTGCGGGCCCGAACAGAGAGGCCCCATCGTTTTCTGAAGCGAACACTCCACCGCTGTGAAGCCATCCACTTCACGTCGGGGTGCATGGTCTTCATCAGCTCCCTCGACCACTTCTGCAGCTTCTTCACGGGTACAGGCGTCCCTTTCGCGCGGTCTTTTAGGAACTTCTCATACACGACAAGCTCCATGTCGTGGTACCAGCTGCGGCGCCCATGGCCATGCAATCGCTTGCGGCACGAAGCAGCTTCCTTCAGCTTGTCCTCCGCGAGCTCCCACTCTCGAATTCGACGGCGCGAAATGCCCGACTCGCGCTGCACAGCTCGTCGGTTCCTATCGAGCGCACGCCATCGCTCCAGCCAATACAGCTTTTCCTGAGAAGTGTACGCCCTTCGCTTGCGCTGTGTCATCCGAGATCTGGGGGAGGGAGGGCGGCTGTCGAAATTTGTTGTCGTTGGATGAGGGCGGCTCCGACCTTCGGGGAATGTTGGGATGGGCAGCTTCTCGGGCAGCCCATCACGGTGCCAGTACTCCGCCTCCTCCTCATCCGTTTCCTTCCACTGGTCGTGCTCCGGCCAGTTGTCACCGTTGGGAATCCCCCAGTCGCGAGCGCGCGGGGATTCGAGAGCCTCCTCCTCGTCCGAGATGCTCTCCACGTCGCATCGGTCGGGCTGGGGCGGGAACGGGTTGCCGGGTAGAAGTAACGTCAGAACAGGAACTCCGTCGACCTCCGTCAAGGGCAACCGCAAAGACCATGGTCGCGAGCTTCCAGGAACGGAGGGCGCTGGAGGGGCCGGAGGTGCCGGCGGTGCAGGAGGAGCCGGGGGAGCGGGGGGAGCGGGAGGAGCGGGAGGAGCGGGAGGAGCGGGCGGCGCGGGAGGAGCAGGGGGTGCAGCACGGAAACCACTAAATCTACTAACTCGGGCAGCAGCTATGTCCTGTCTAGAGAGGCGTGTTGGTGTACCAGGGCTGCCGAACAGTACAGACATAGCTGTGGGTGGAAGGCCAGCCATGGCGGCGGCCTGGCGAGAGAGGACGCATGAGGACGCTCATTCGAAAAGCTACTGAAATAATGAAGCTTCAACCAGGGTGTTCCTCAATTCCTCAGCGGGGAATTCCTCATCGTGCAGCCCATGACGGTGCACGAAGAGGATTCCTCTTCCTTTCCGAGCTGAGAGGGCACCGTCGTGGCATGACGAAGCTACCAGCAGATTCTTCTCGAACTTCTAGCTCGCCTTGCGGATGCTGCCCGCCGAGCATGTGGCTGCGATTGGACCGCCAAACAGCATATTCGCACAAAAACTCCAACGCCGCATCACCAACACATGAGATGTGACAGCGTCCGCGCCGCTGTGCTCGTGGTTGGTCCGTTTGGCTGCATCCACACAAGCCTGGCTGGTTCGATGTTTCCGGACCAGATTCATGCGAATCTCTGTTGTATTCGCTGCTGCAAATATCTGAATAAACGTTGGCGGGTGTTAGATGCACATTTCGATGCCGTTTTTTTTCTTCTCAAAAAACCATTTTAAACGCACTGGGCCATATTGAAAAAATTCGAATAAACGCACCCCCCAAAATTTGACTATAATCCCTAAACGCACCCCTGCGCGTATATCCGGGGGAATACGGTATGCGTCAATGCTGCAACAGAGATTGATGGGGTGCGCGATGACAACAGAGTTGCCCCACGCACGATGACAACCTCAAATTGCAACACCTTGCATATAAGCAGCACATCCGAAGCAGACACAATCCACGCCTTATCACATTTGCTGCCACACGCACTATGCACATGGGGACTAGGAGCAGCAGGCACACCCCGAAACAGACAGTATTTATCAAACCCATGCACACCCCTCAAATGCAAACAACAATCAAACAAACACATGCACCATCGCAAATAGCCTAATAGTTGGAGTTCCCAATATCCAAATTAGAGAACAGTGGTAACGCCGTGCAATCGGAAATCTGTCCCCGCAAGATGTTCCAACAAGCAATAGAAATTGGTGTTGGAAGATGTTCTTTGTCTTGCGGCTGCAACAGACAGCGCCTGCTGTACGACCTGCACAGTACACCAGTGAATCATAGAAACACAACATACGTTCAAAAGTGGACCACATAATTTGTTTATATGCACTTATGGTGTTGGATATTGCGTTTGGGGTTTCAGGTTTGGTGCGGAACATGGGATGAAACTCAGAAATATAAAAAAACGAGAGTAGGCAAAACTCACGCCGACCACATTGATTTCTTAAGACAGTAAATAAGACAGTAAACAGCCAGGCATTCTATGCCCATACATGCATACAGCCATGCATGCTATGCCCATACATGCATACAACTAGGTATGCTATGCCCATACACACATGCAGCCAGGCATGCTATGCCCATACACACATACAGCTAGGCATGCCATCCCCATACACACAATCAGCCTGGCATGCTATCCCCATACATGCATACGGCCAGGCACGTTATGCACATACACGCATACAACTAGGCATGCCATGCCCATACACACACACAGCCAGGCATTCTACGCCCATACATGCATACATCTATGCATGCCATGCCCATACATGCATACAACTAGGTATGCTATGCCCATACACA